CATAGTGGTTGAAAGTGCAGACTCTGGTTAATCTGAACCCCTATATGCCTGAGTTTCCTCACCTGTAAAACAGAAATAACAATAGCTGCTTTGTTTAGACTGTTGGTGGGATAACATGGGCATATCTAAAGTGCTTAGCACTGTGCCTGGCTAGTCATAGTATCTTAATAACTTTTAGTTCTTATTTTAATAAATACACAACATCGAAATGATTTTTGAAAGTATAAACCCAGAGCCCTGGCCAGTGTGGCATAGCTGGTTGGAGCACTGCCCTGTAACCAAAAAGTCACAGGTTCAATTCCCAGTCAGGGCACATATCCAGGTTGTGAGTTTGATCCCTGGCCTGAATGTGTACAGTCCCCAGTCTGGGCAGCCAAGGGAGTTTCTCTCCCTTCCTCTCTCCTTCCTCTCTAGAAACAATGAAAAAAAAATATCCTTGAGTGAGGATAAATAAAATAATAATAATAATAAGAGTAAATAAAAATAGAAGTTAAAACTCAGAAAATAAACCAGGAGGGGACCACTAGCACATAGAATATTTTAACAAATTTTGGAAGGTGGAAACTCAAATGGAATAGTGGTATTTATTCCATTCTCTTTCTCTTCCTTCTAAAGATAATTAAATAAAAAATCTTATTAAAAAATAACTGGTCATTATGCTCAAGGAACATTCCAAGTGTGCTTTCAGCTGCTAGCTCTGTCTTTACAGGTAAGCTGAAATAATTTTCTGAGCGGTTCCTCTGACATTTAGGGCTTCTCCAGGCTAAATCCTGGATCCCCAGTCTGGCCTCCATAAAGTAAAAAGCTTAGGTTCAAGTCACAGTTATGTGGCTTTTAATTAGATTTTTAACCATAATTCTGACCAGTCAGCTTTTAAATGGCCTACTTAAAAAAAATTACTGATTTTTTTAGGGGGAGAAAGAAAAACAATTTATTATTTCACTTATATATGTATTCATTGGTTGCTGCTTGTATGCCCTGACAGGGGATCAAACCCACAACCTTGGCATTTCGTGACAATGCTCTAACCTGCTGAGCTACCCAGCCAGGGCTAAATGGCCTACTTCTTGGACATAAATTGAAAACTGAGGACTGGTATACTTTTGAGGATGGCTGGCAATGTGAAAAATAAACACCAAGGTAAATGATAATGGCCTTGGAGGAAACATAATTTAGGCGACAGATGAACTAAACATTAATACTGACAAAGTTAATTTATCAGGACCCACAAAACGGAGGCCGTCCTCCTGGCCTGGCCCAAGTCACAAATCTAAACCTACGTTAGTCTGCACTTACAGGACGCACCTGTCGTGGAAACCTAACATACACTAACCACAGTCCTCCAACTCAGCTGTGGCTAGTCTACCTTCCCCTAGAAAATAGGACCGTGGTTCTGTCAGGACACCCCCGCCCTCCTGGCCAATCCTGCCCTGTTCTTCGCCACCCCTTCCCCGTAAAAGTTGCTCCTGCCCCAGATCCCTCGGGGACAGTGCCCTGCTGTGGGTGAGGCACTGCTCTCACCTGACCCACGGCTGCTTTCCCTTGAATCAAGTACATCCAACTCGTTATTAACTTGCTTTGGTTTTGTCATTTGACAGTATCATAGGAGACATAGAGAAAGATTGAGTTGGTTAAAAAAAATAGGATGTCATAAAAATAAAGAACAGTCAGAATAGTAAAGAGCCGTGGGGAGTTAAAAGTGTAACTGCTGAGATGAAGAATTGCCGTGGGAGAGCTTGAAGTTGATGGAGAGGCAGTCTCGCAGGAGGTAGAGCAAGAGCACGAAGAGGGAAGAGATGAGGGGAAGAAATACGAATCTAGGTGGTCAGTTAAATCCCTACCTGAGTAACGGGAATACTAGGCAGAGTGAAAAGATAATAGCAGACAGCAAGAAATTATCGAAGAAGATCATAGAAGATACTGTCCTAGGGTTGATGGGACAATGACATGATCAGATTGAAGAGGCCGAATGAGTGCCCAGTATGATGAATGTAGACAGACCCCAAACTACACATTTTGAAGTTTTATAAACCTGAGGATAAAAGGGAAAATCCCAAAAGAAACCAGAAAGATAGAAATTATCACCATCCAAGGAATAGGACTTACAGCAACTAGCACTGTAAACATTAAGCAATGTTAACTGTCTAGAGTGAAATACTTCCTGCCGTGGAAGTTGGCCAGTGGTGTCACTCCTTTTGGGCCCTGACTAAGCCTTTCTGACACACTGCGTAGAGCACTTACGGGAAGTCTCTCTGTGAACTGCAGTTTGTTTCGAGTTTGGTTCTTCAGATAGGTTTTCGTTGCTTCTCATTCAAGGACAATCCCCGAGCGTTTGCACTCACTCAGGCCACCCGTTCTCCTTCCACTGACTGGGACTCTGGATAAACCTCTCAGTAAGTAAATTGCCATCTCTGGCAAAGCTGCTTTCCTTCCGCACCTAAAGTTGTAGCTCTCTTATTTCTCCCTTTCAAAAATGTTTATCTATTTATTTTCAGAGAGAGGGGGAGGGGAGAGGAAGAGAGGTAGAGAAACGTTGATGTGAGACAGAAACAGCAGCTGGCCATCTCTTGCCCAAACCAGGGACCTGGCTGGCAACCCGGGTATGTGCCATGACCAGGAATTGAACCAGCGACCTTTTGGTTCTCAGCCTGGGGCTCAATCCAAGGAGCCACACCAGCCAGGGCTTATTTCTCTTATTTTTGTTTCTCTGGAGCCAAGAGGACAGGCACTCTAGTCACACAGACTTGGGTTTAAATCCTAGATTCACCACATAGTTGCCTCGGCTAGCACTCTAAGCTTTTGTAGTCAAAGGACATGAAATCTGGAGAGGGTCTTGGATATCTCTCCACCTCAGAAATGGCCTCCAGATCAGCAAACTGACCACCAAACCAGCCAAATTGCTCCCAGCTGGTCTGTTGTACCCCTGTACTTATTTGTCTCTAGGGAGGGTAGAGACCATGGTGCTGTCTCTTGGCCAGATCTGAGTGGAATGTCCTAACTAGTGACTAATGTAGTCCTGGGCTAGGGTCTGAGACAGACCAGAGGCAGCCTGGACCAGGTTTTCTGTTTTTGAGACTGGTCACGCAGCCTCGTTTTGGGTGCGTGACTATAAAGGCATAAAAGATCCCTCCTCGGAAGAGACTGGTTTCCTGGGACCTAGGTATCTTGCATATACCTGGGTTGTTCATTACCTAAAATGCAAGGCAGCCTGTGCTATGGAGTAAGGCCCCCAGGAACTGTACCTGGAATCGGAGACTCAGACTCTCCGATGTTTGCCTGTTTTTTAAAGTTTTTATTTTTGCATTTGATCCTTTGCCTGCATTCAAGTTTTATGTAAATATGTTACTTGGAGTCATGTGAGTTTTTTCAATTACCCAGCCCTGTGTAATTGCTGAAGACAGCGCTGTGAATGGGCTAATTGAAACAGTTTTTGGCTTTATAATTTAAATAATGGCTAAGGCTTCGATTGACAGAAAGAAAGATGAAAAGTGGGAGAAAGATTTAGAACCACTCATGGCAGGCTGGCCACTGAGGAATTCCTGGTTTGAATTCCTTCAAATACTAGAACTATCGATGGAAGGGAAAGCACAGCAATGGAATTTAAAGGTGGTCAATCCAGAGTCAGAGGAAATAGCTAAGTGGATTAAAACAGAAATTCAGATGGAGGGGAAGTCAGCCAAGAATACTGTACCTTGGCTGGTTTTGGCTGCTTTGGCAAAAATGAAAGTAGCTACAAAAAGCCTTAGGCTGCCAACACCATCAGACTTTGGCTGGTTCCTTCTGTGAAGGAATGGAACATGAGGCCAAAGGGGAGATGGGCAGCTATTCCGGTCATAATGAGATGCCCTTCTGATAGAGAACCACTAGAGTCACTACAGGAAATGGGCATCAAGAGAACTGAAACAAAGGAGGTGTTCAATCAAAAAGCAAGGTCACCCCGTAGCTGAAGAGTTGCGTTCGATCCCCCCTCAGGGCTCATGCCCAGGTTGCAAGTCCAGTCCCTGGTCTGAATGTGTATGGGAGGCAACCAGTCGATGTTTCTTGCTCACATCCATGTTTCTCTCTCTCTCTAAAGAGCAATGAAGAAAGTGTTCTCAGGTGAGGATTAAAAAAAAAAAAGCTAAGTAACCTTGTGGACTGAGAGCTGCTTGAAGAAATACTGCTGGAACAGATTTAAAGCATTAGTGACAAAGAAGCGCTTTTCCTTGTCTTTGGCACTTTGAAATGAAAGTCATGCTTGGTGTTAATCAAGATCTTCTGTTCACTGCCACTTTCGCAGAAATGCGGGTAGGTGGGCAAATTGCAAATCAGCTGAGTTGGGTAAAGGTGGGGGCACATAAAACACATCTTGTAAAGTGGAACCATCTAGTTGCACCTGGGGGCATTAAATGGAACACTCCCTTTGAGGCTTCTGAAGTGTTGAGGATACAAGCAAGCATCTTTGGACTTGTTATATAACTATACCAGGGTATCCCTTGTTTTGTGCCTTTGATGTAATTGGTGATGGATGCTATGCTAAGAGGGCCTCCAACTGCTTGGACTGCATGTGTGACCTTACCTATCAGGGGAGGGGGGCAGGCAGGATGAAGTGAGAGAGGCTGACCTATTAGCATATTTGCTCCAACTTGGGCTGAATGTTGAATAGAAGATCAGTATGATTCAGAAGAAATGAAACAGTTGAAATAAAAGGGTTGAAGAAAATCTCAGGACTACTCAATCCAATGGAAATGTCCATTAACCTGCTTTTCTTTCCCTTCTGAGAAGACAGCCACTCAGGCTCTGGCTGGCGTGGCTCAGTGGATTGAGCATGGTGCCTGTGAGCCGAGGGGTCACCAGCTTGAGTCCCGGTCAGGGTGTGGGGCTGGGTTGTGGGCTGGTCACCAGTAGGGGGCACCAGAGAGGCAACCACACACTGATGTTTCCCTCCCTCTTTTTTTCTTCCCTTCTCTCTAAAAAACAAACAAACAAATAAAAGACAAAGTTTAAAAAAAAAAAAGAAGATGGCCACTCAGGAGGAGGCCACTGGAGCGAACAGTTCCCAGCGTGATAATGCTTTGCTGCTGGACTTGTCTGCTCTTCTAGGCATCGATGCTTTTCAATATGCAGAGGAAATGGAAAAAGAGGAGCAGAAAGAACGAGAGAAAATGCAGAAAGGCTTTAACTCAGAAATGCGCAGTGAAGCAAAAAGATTAAAGACTTTTGTGACCTATGGCCCCTACAAGTCATGGACGCCACAGGAGACGGCCGCGGCTGGGTTCTATTTCACTGGCGTCAAGCCCAGGCTGCAGTGCTTCTGCTGCAGCCTCGTCTTGTTCCAAAGCAGCCTTCAGAGACTCCCCATAGAAGAACACAAGAAATTTCAGCCAGATTGTGAGTTCCTTTTGGGCAAAGATGTTGGTAACATTGCCAAGTACGACATAAGAGTTAAGAATCCGGAGAACAAGCTGAGAGGAGACAAAGCAAAGTACCAGGAAGAGAGGGCCAGGCTGGAGTCCTTCGAAGACTGGCCATTTTATGCCCAGGCAACATCCCCAGGGGAGCTCTCAGCAGCTGGCTTTGTCTTTACAGGTAATTTAAAATCTTTGCTGAAGTATTTCTCTGGAGTTTTAAGTTTAGGTTTCATTTTTTAGTTGCACTATGTTGTGAATTTTCCCTCACTTGTTAAATGTATTTGATTAGGTCTATTTTATTAACATTCAACTTCACTAATTTTACTTTAGTTTTATGTTTCATGCAGCATATTAATTTGTCAAATATATAAAAAATTAAACAGCCCTGGCTAGTGTGGCTCAGTGTATTGAGCGCCAGCCCATGAACCAAAGGGTCGCAGGTTCGATTCCCAGTCAGGGCACATGGCTGGGTTGCAGACCAGGTCCACTGTAGGGGTCATGCAAGAGGCAACCACACATTGATGTTTCTCTCCTTCTCTTTCTCCCTCCTTTCCCCTCTGTCTAAAAATAAATAAATAAAGTCTTCTAAAAAATTAAACAGTTACTTTTCCTTAAATTTGGACCTTAGACAATACTGACAAACATTCTTAAGGTCCTTAAAATAAACCAGGAGGTGAGTCATTCCTCAGTCCCCTTATCCATTTTCCTTTTGCTGCTCTTATAAGACCTTCTGATTTTTTTAAAGTGCTGCGATATTGGAGGGGCTTTTTGTTTGTTAGATGGTTGGTTTTAATGTTAGGACTAACTCTATATGAAAGGCAAACTGCATTTAAGAAAACTGTACTTTGTCTACCTTGTCCTACGCTTGCCATACATGTTAGGACGGATGTGAGTGAAAACTGTAGTAACGGTAACAGCTGCCGTTGGCTGAGTACCTACTTGACGCTAGACTTGGGCTAAGCACTAATTCTCATCCAACAAACTCTCCCCTTCCTGCCATTTCACAGTTGAGTTCATTGAGGCTTGAAGAGTTTAAAAGTGTGCCTAAGTGTCCACAGCAATTTTGTTGCAAAGCTACAGCTTAGGTTTTCTAACTGTGCCTTACTTAATGAGTCCTAGGGTTTCTCTGCTTCCCCACTACTTCGGCTCTGAGAACTCCAATAGCAAAACACCAGCTCTGGGAACACCTTGCGGGCATATTGAGTTAAACAGTTCAGAGTTCTGTACCTGAAGGATGGCTGTGGCTGAGGGGCGAGGTTGTAGGGCAGCGGTGCTGTGGAAGGAGAGACTCAGCCAGATGACAGTGTGATGGACAGACATGGTGGAGCACGCCTTACTCCCGCACAGAGCAGTCAGTTCGCAGAAACTCACCTTCTGGTTTGTCCCTTGGTGCCACTGCTGGGCAATCTAAATGTTTTCCTTCACGTGCAGGGAAACGGGACACTGTGCAGTGTTTTTCCTGTGGCGGATGTTTAGGAAATTGGGAGGATGGAGACGATCCTTGGAAGGAACATGCCAAGTGGTTCCCTGAGTAAGTAGAGAAATCTGTCTCTTTTCTTAAAAATATGAAACAAAACTGAAGACAAGAGTCACCTTCCTGGAGAAGCATCTTCAAGTTTGACTCTTTTCCTATCTGAAACTGGAACGTTCCAGGATTTATTCAAGCAAGAAAGGTCTGATTACATCATGAGCATTTTGAATCATATAATTTTAAAATAATTTCTTAAATATTGTTTTATTATCCTAAATACTAAAACACGTTTTTCTAGGTAGAAGTTTTAGGATCAGCCCTAATTGATAAATGAAAATAATTCACACAGGGATGATATAAATGACATAAGAAGGAAGTTGGAAAGTAAAATAATATTTAAGATTTCATTACAAATGTTTTCATGTACTGCTGATTACATACCAAAACCCCCCCACCATTTTATTTTATTTTAAAAACTCAGAGTTTTAATTGTTGCAGTGGTCTTTAGTTCCTGCTTAAAAAATAAAGTGCATTTTAATTGCTTTTAATGCTATATTTACTAGTATTTTCTTTTTAAAGATTTTACATATTTATATTTAGAGAGGGGGAAGAGAGGGAAAGAAACACTGATGTGAGCAAGAAACCTTGATTGGTTGCCTCTCACACACCCCTAACTAGGAACCTGGCCTGCAGCCCATGTGTCCTGACTGGAAATTGAACTGGCAACCTTGTAGTTCACAGGCTGGCACTCAATCCACTGAGTCACACCAGCCAGGGCTATGTTTACTAGTATTTTCTACATGACTTTGTATCTATCAAATACATATTCATTTCCTTTACAATTTTTAACTTGCATTATGGAAAATTTCAAAAGTAGAGAGAATAGTATAATAAACCCTTATCAGTGCATGGCCAAATTATATTCCATCCGTCTGTCACTCACCTCTCCCCAGAAATTATATTAAAGTCAATCCAAGGCATCTTATAATGTGATTTGTTGATATTACATTTTAGAGTTATGTACTAAAACATCTTTAAGAAACAAAACCACAATATTATCTTTCCTAAAAAAGGATTAACATTAATTCCTCAATACATATTATCAAATATCTGAGTCAGTGTTCAATGTCCACATCCCCCTACTTCCCTCTCTTTCTTTACTGTTGGTTAATTTGAATCAGGATCCAAAGTCTACATATTACATTTAGTTGATCTGTCTCTTAAGATTTTTAATTTATAGGTTCCCTCTTTCCCTTTTTCTTGTCATTTACTCATTAAATAAACCATGTCATCTTCCCTGTAAAATTCCCTATACTCTAGGTTTGGCTGAACCTGTTTTTGTGGCGTTATTAATGTGGTTTTTCTACTTCCTAAATTTCCTAGGACTTAGATCTAGGAATGTGATCAGGCTCATATTCTATTTCTTTAACAAATATCTGTCACATACCTACAACATGTGAAGAAGTTATTGATTGGATCATAAGTCAACCACAAAATAACTAGATAGATACTTATATCTATAAGTCATCTTGCATATGGACAGCCATGCTCACAAAAATGGAAGGATGTCTCTGATAAGTGAAAAGGGCAATATGCAAAATAATGTGTAGTGTAAGACCTTAAAAATATGTAAAGCCACTCAACCTATGTACAGACTTGTTTGAAAATAAATAGAAAAAGTTATGAAAAGATATGAACCAAACAATAGATCTGTCTGGGTCTGAATTCGTCAGGAGAAGAAGTGGAGAGACATTTTCATATTTTACTTTGTTCACTTCTATTTTGTTCAACTTTTTAGAAATGAGTGTGTATTACTTTTGAAGTTGAAAAGAAAGCGAGAGGGTAGGAGGGAGGGAGAAGGAGGACAAAGGTGGAGAAAGGAAAGAGGTAGAGAGAGAGAGATGGGGGAGGGGGAAGGGAGAGGAAAGCTCTTCCAGACAAGCAGATGAGACAATTATATGCTTGAAGGGATGCTTGAAGCCAGATTGCTAAATATTTTGAAGGTCACTCTGGCTCCTTGACCAATCAGAATAGACCCAAACAATCAGACTCACGTACCATAATGGTTGACATGTACCATACTGGTAGGTACCAGGAGAGTGTCAGCCCTGGCTCAGTATCATGGCTCTTGGGCACCCATTTCAGCTCTGGTCTCAGATTAGGGCCACCATGCTAGTGCTATTGGGTTATACACTAGACAACTCCTAATGACACTGTTCACACAGACCATCATGTGACTAGACCAGCCAGAGTGGCACATCCTGTGGGGAGTGGCCCTGGTATACCTTCTCTGACACTGGGTTGAGGGAAAGATAAGAAGCATAGGAGGGAAGATATCAGTCCTGTGACCTGCCTCACAGAGGGAAGGAGCTAAGGCCTGCTTATACAAAGAAGGGCTGGGCAGAGTGCAGAGGCTGAGGAGGCACACAGAGCTGCTTCCCAGCCAGCAGACCATGCACAAGTTACTCTGAGTCTTGTATGTAAAAATGCAGGTGGTCATACATGGCTTGTAGGGATGTTGTAAGGATTATAAAGTTGTATGGAACACATTTCTTGTGCAGACTATCATGTATTATGTGAAGATGACTGATGATTTCACTGTGTACTCTAAAAAAATTCTATATTTATTAATTTCCATTGTTTTTTAAGGAATAGTGATGTGTTTTGTTCACTAGATGAAATATATTATTATTTTACACAGCTCCCCTTATTGCCAGTAACTTTCACATAAGCAAAGGAGCTAGATTTATTGATCATAGTGTAATTTAACAAACAAACAAAAACTCTAGCCTATATATTACTATAAATCAGTCTGTATTTTTTTCAAGAGAAAAGATAAATATTTAATTTTAAATTCTTCAGGCTGTCATTAATAGAAATAAAGAATACTTATGTGAGAATAATGGTGATTATCTTAAGTAAGTTTTGGAATAAGTCTTTTGATAATTTTATTTAAAGTTTAATAAAATCCACCAAGTTTAAATATGCAATTCACTAAGTTTTAACAGTGTTCCTTGTGCAACCATCACTGCAATGATAGAGCTATAGGACATCTCTATTCACGATATCAGGGTAAATTTTAATTATGTTTATCAATTATAGGTGTGAATTTCTTCAAAGTAAGAAATCCTCAGAGGAAATTGCCCAGTACATTCAAAGCTACGAGGGATTTGTCGGCGTCACGGTAATGTACAACAGCACTTTTTCTTTCAAGTTGGCTTCTGATTACCTAACAGTACCTGAGTTACATGGGGGTATGCATTTTTGTTTCTTTTTTGGTCACGGACTCTACTTTTTTCTTATTTCCTTCTTTCCGACCCCTGTTTCTCATCTGGCAGAATGAAGAAAATGACCTTTTCTTGCTAAACAAGACCTCTTAAAATTCCTTTTTCTGGGGCTGGTTTTTGTGTGGTTTGTCTGCCTTCCTGACGGTTTTTCCCTCTTTGACTGAGGCCGCCTTCCCCAGCTTCCCTTGGCTGCCCCCGTCTGAATGACTGTGTAAGATCAAGGACCACGGCACCATTCCCCACAGAAGGCCTCAGAGTTACTGTCTCCTATCGGTTACTTTAGAACTATTAGTAAAGATTCTCTAGTGGCAGGTGATAGAAAACCCAACTCAAATTGGCTTAAGCACAAAAGGGAATTGATTGGCCAATATGACTCAGAAGATGAGAACTCTGCCTCAAGAACTTGACCTGAAAGTGAGGGAGAAGTGATTCCTCAGAAAAAAATTCTGGTCAGTTAACAGAGAGAGACCGGCTGCCCAACACCTAACGTGCTTCTGGATCCAGTTGCCTCCCTATAGCTTCTACTTCCTCATTAGTCAATGTACATCTGTGATATCTACACGTAAATCAGCTTTGGAGCCAGATCTCTGAAAACGGTGACCCCAGAAGGCTTCCAGTTGGGTGGAAATAAACATTCACACATTCTTTCCATTTCATTTTGTTTTGTTTTGTTTTGTTTTTGCACTGCATAAAAAATACATTAATAGAAACCAAAATTTAAAGAATGATCTCCATCAACCCTGTCACTCGATCCAATGAAACTCTTCATCTGGGGGTAGGGGAGTTCTTGCAACTTTCATCGGTAGGTAGGTATATACTCTAAGTCAAAATTTTAAATTTCCTTCAGGGAGAACATTTTGTGAATTCCTGGGTCAAGAGAGATTTACCTATGGCATCAGGTAAACACTCAGACTTTCCAAAGGCTTTGCTTGTTTATTTCTTCTTTTGTTTTTCATTTGTTCTCATCCTTTTCTTTTTTTAATGCTTCCATTTCCTCCCTCATTTGATGGTGCCATAATCATTAAAAAGGTTTTTTCCACAAGATTTCTGGCCTTCTGGAGTGACTTAGTTTATTAGCATAAATGAGCATAGGGAGTATGGCAGGGTTGGGTCCCTCGCTGACATGTGCCCTAAAACAGTGACAATTTCTGGCTAACGTGGTTTTGAAAGCATTCTTAAACGAATTAGTGTCTGTCCCCATTTCCTGGTACAGGGCTCCTAAAACTCTCAATCTCCCAAGTGCTAAGAGCACTAGGAGCATCTCTTATTCTAAAAATTGGTCTTTGACCCCATCCCTGACAAATGCCTAAGTGCTAAGAGCACTAGGAGCATCTTTTGTTCTAATGAAGTGGTGCTGGGTGGGCTCCTGGGTGACTCCCGATGGGGGCCGGTCACTAGAAAAACCAAGCCATGATTAGAAGCTTAGAATTTTCCATTGCTTCCCAAATTTCCCAGAGAGGGAACAGGGGCTGGAAATGGAGTTAATGATGATGTGCCTACATGATGAAGCCTCCATAAAAATCCCAGTGGCACAGGGTTTAGGGAGCTTCCAGGTGGACGAACACATCCACGAACTGGGAGGGTGACACACGCCAACTCCATGGGGATGGGAGCTCCCATGGCCTCACCCTGTCTCTTCCCCTAGCTGCTTATCTGTATGTTGTATATCCTTTAGTAAACTAGTAAACATAAGTGAGTGTTTCTGTGAGTCCTGTGAGCCACCCTAGTTAATGAAGTATACTGGGTGCAGTCTCATGGGATCTGACGCTGTCTCCAGGTAGAGTGTCAGAATTGAGTTATATAGTAGGACAGGCAGCTGGTGTCAGAGAATTGCTTGGTGGGGAAGACCATCACACATCTGGTGCCAAAGGTGCTGTGTAGTATGAGAGTGTAAAGGAGACACACAGGAGGAAAAGACTGAGATTTTTCTACTACAGTAAGTATATGCAGATTAAAAATGAAGTGCCGGCAGGAATCCTGGGGTTAAGTGAGCAAGCTGTATGAAGCAAGCATTCATATTTAGAAAATTTGCAGACCCAAGTTAACATAAGTTTAATTTTCAAGTCCTTATAGGGCACAGGTGACAGCAACCAAACCCTGGAACCCACCCAAGGCAGGAAGTCTAATGGAGACCACTCCATAGAGTGGACACCCCAAAGGGCAAGAAGCCAATCTGCCTGTTCTTAAGGGAGCTGCAAGGAAAATTTGCCTTTCTCCAATCTTGACACTAAGTTGTGGAGGAGGGGAATCTCCTTTAGCTTTTTTTGTTTTCTTCTGTTGCTAGATGAGGAAGAGATACTTTTTAAAGGCTTTATTATAGAAACTTTTGAAAGTATACAAAAATAAGATAAGTATATACTCCACCACTCTGCTTCAACAATGTAACACATGCTCAATCTTGCTTCATCTAAACCCCTTTCTTCTTTTTAAACTTTCCTCTGATTATATTGAAACAAATTCCAAACCTCATATCATTCTATCTGTAAATACGCAGTGATTACTTGAACACTGATAGTTGCAGCATCAGAACTTGCTGGTTTCACCATATGCCTTTTATTCAAGCTTATTGCAATGATAGCATCTTTGCTAATGAAGAACTACGACTGGACTCTTTTAAGAACTGGCCTCCTGAATCCCCTGTAGGAGTTGCAGCTCTGGCCAAAGCAGGTCTTTTCTACACAGGTGAGTCAGTAGTTTACCTAAAGCTCTTACATTGCTCATCATTCAAACGCCACAAACAATTCACGATCCTGAACTTGTATTTATCTAGTCTGAACAATGGCCACTCTCCTAGTTTTCTACAACTCCCTTGGGTAGAAAGGCTCCAAATTGAAGCCTGAAGGTCTAGACAAACAATGAGTACCAGTGCAGGGATCCTCCATTCTTCAAAAGTTAGCTTTATGCTACTTTGTTTTCATGAAAGACATACACATTTGTTCAGGCAGACCTTGGAGATATATGGGTTTGGTTCCAGACCACTGAATTAAAGTGACTATCAAATTAGCAAGTCATAATCTATTTGCTGATGGAGGCAAATAGATTTGTAAAAAAATGTAATATCTGCCTTTAATTTGTAAAAAAAATGTAATATCTGTGAAGTGCATTAAAGGAAACCACAATAAAACTGTCATACGACCCTCTGCTTCTATCTCTTTGACCAGAACTTAGTAGTCAGATGGCCATATCTAGCTATAAGAGAAGTGGTACATTTAACCTTTTTCCTGGGTGGCAATGTATCCAGCTAAAAATTAGGGTTTCTGTTACTATGGAAGAATTAGCAATACTGGGAGTGTGAAGAAGGAGTCCTTGACACACTTTCCTTGGAAGAGAAAAATCAGAAAATACATTTTTAAATGTACCCTAATCTTTCTTCCACCAGTTCATAGCATTCTCTTTAGTTTCTGGTCATCAGGAAGTTCCACTCTGTAATCCACGAAGTGTGGGCTGGTTCCCTTCTGCTAACTCTCTGCCTGAGGCACAATAAGGACCAGAGAAAGGGTGCTGTGCTCTTCCTTGGTACCTTGCTGGCCTTCTTCAGACCAAACACATAAACTGAGTTACAGTGAAGGCCCATGCACATCTCATACTGAGAGGGCAAATAGGCACCCAAAAAATCACAGAGCAGCACAGAGTAGGGGGATGTAGTGATCACTTTATCTGACAAATGTTCTATTGGCACAAAAAATCTTAATGATTCACAATTGTAAGCATTTGAAAAGGCACAGCACCTGCTCTGTCTGTTCTGTCCTCCTGTGTCCAGTGTTCTCACCCTCTTCCTTTTTGAACCTCCACCTCTCCCCACAAATCCTAACCATTTGACCCTCTTAGGGTCTTGCATGCTCTAGGACCTCATATTTTCATCCAGACACAAAGGGAGGGTCTCCTCTGCCTCCCCTTTGTGGTGCCTACGGGGCTTCGAGTGGAAGGAAGACAATGGATGTTCCATTTCTAGTTCAATCCTCTGGTAGATTCAAATGCTAATTTCCTACCAAGGAAATATAGTCTCCCAAGGAGACTTGATCCTACTTCCAGTGGAATAAACCTGGCAATAATGTAGTAAGAGGCATTTGATTCTTCATGAACTTACACAAGGGCTGTAACAGTTGTTCATACTTTCCCCCCTGAGCCCTAAATATATTCTTTCTGATTCAGTTACTAAACAAACACTTAGAGTGCCTAATAAGAGCTAGGCACTCTTCTAGGTCCATGAGATTTATTGGTGAACAAAAGAGACAAAAAGGTTTTCTTTCATGGACCTTTAATTCCACACTCTGATGTGCAAATCTCTCGCTCCACGGGAGGAAGGTGGGACACGTAGAGGGCATTCATCATGCACCATGTACGCGGTACATAGGAGCATCCATGCTGACTTGCTCATTACCCCATTTGTCCTATGGAGAGGGTTGCCTCACTGGTAGCCCAAGTTGTGACTTCATCACAAAATCTGATTGGAAATGCAAGCAGGGTTTTGCTAATAAAGGCTTGGTGGTTATTACCTGTGTCACTTAACAACTACACGTGCCAGTAGCACTGACCGAATTTCCTCATATCTAGGTATAGAGGACACCGTCCAGTGTTTTTCCTGTGGAGGATGTTTGAAAGACTGGGTGGAAGGTGACGACCCATTAGAAGATCACACCAAATATTTTCCTAAGTGAGTGGAGTGAACGCTTAGTGTCTGTGAATTTGGACGTACTTTAAAACAATTTGTCCCTTGTTTTCTTCTTCATTTTCTTATTAAGTCTTTGCTCATTCTTCTAATTCATACCCTGAAGGATGACTCTTTATCTCTTGTATCTCTTTGCTCTCATGACACCCTTTCCACTTAGTGTTTTCCTCATTATGGTCAGAGTGTAGTTTTGGTTAGATCAATATTTTTACATTCTGTGTTTACTTATTGTGACTGCATAAATGCTATGCGGAGCTGAACCTATAATAAATCATGATTTATTTTCTCTTTCTGTACAAGTTTTATTTTTTTATAGAAAGTAATAATTGTCTTGTTAGTATGTTTGCTAAATTTTTTTGTTTCTTTAAAATACATTAATATGTTAATTATTTTAAAGAGTACAGTCAAGTGGCATTTAGTATATTCCCAATGTTGCCAACCACCTCTTCTATGTAATTCCATTTTCATTACCCGAAAGAAAACTGCATATTAAGCAGTCACCCCCTGTCTCCCCACCCCATTGCACTAGGCCTAGCTCCTTGGAGCTATATAAATCTGTTAACTTTTTAAAAAAGATTTATTTGTTTTTTTGTTTGTTTGATTTTGGAGAAAGGGGAAGGGAGGGAGAAAGAGAGAGAGAGAAACATTGATGTGTGGTTGCTTCTTGAGCACCCCCTACTGGGGACCTGGCCTGGAACCCAGTTGCCCAGGTTGTTTGCCCTGGCTCAGAATCGAGTCAGTGATCCTTTACTTCGCAGGCCGCTGCTCAATCCACTGAACCACACCAGCCAGGGTTCTTTTTTAAAAAATAAATTTTTTTGATTATGCCACTACAATTGTCCCAATTTTCCCCCTTTTGCCCCTCTTTGCCTGGTACCCCCCTTCCCTCCAGCAATCTCCCCCTTAGTTCATGTCCATGGATCATGCATATAAGTTCTTTGGTCATAAGTTCTATTTCCTATATTATTCTTGAAATTCCCCTGCCTATATTGTACCTACCAATTATGCTTCTTATTCCTTGTACCTTTTCACACCTTCTCCTCCTTTCCTCCTCCCAGCTGATAACCCTCCAAATAATCTCCGTATCTATAATTCTGTTCTGGTTCTGGTTGTTTGCTTTGTTTGTTTATTTTAGATTCAGTTGTTGATCGTTGTGAATTTGTTGCCCTTTTAATGCTCATAGTTTTGAACTGCTTTTTCTTAAATAAATCTCTTTAATATTTCATGTAATAATGGCTCGGTGATGGTGAACTCCTTTACCTTGTCTGGGGAGCACTTTATCTGCCCTTCCATTCTAAATGAAAACTTTGCTTGATAAAGTAATCTTGGTTGTAGGTCCTTGATTTTCATCACTTTGAATACTTCATTGCCAGTCCCTCTTGCCCTCCAAGTTTCTTTTGAGAAATCAGTTGATAGTCTTATGGGAACTCCTTTGTGGGTAACTTTCTATTTTATTCTTGCTGCTTTTATGATTTTCTCTTTATATTTAGCCTTTGGCAATTTAATTATGATGTGTCTTGGTGTGGTCCTCTTTGGGTCCAACTTGTTTGGGACTCTCTGTGCTTCCTGGACTTTTATGTCTATTTCCTTTGGCAAATTAGAAAAGCTTTCTTCCATTTCTCAGTTTCTTGCTTTTCTCTTCTCCTTCTGGCATCTCTATGATTTGGATGTTGGTAGGTCTGGAGATGTCCCAGAGGCTCCTTAGCCTGTCCTCATTTTATTATTATTATTTTTTTCTCACTGCTCTAGTTGAACACTTTTTTCTTCATTATGTTTCAAACTGTTGACTTGAATCTTGGCTTCATCCCCTCCACTATTTGTTCCCTGTAACTTTTTCATTACTTTACTTAATGTAACCTTCATTTTTGCCTGGGTCTTTTTTATGCTATTGAAGTACCCATTGAGTTCCTGGAGCATCCTGATCACTGGTGTTTTGAACTCTGCATCTGATAGGTTGGTTATCTCTATTTCACTTAGTTCTTTTTCTGGGGTTTTGTTCTGTTCTTTTATTTATTTATTTATTTATTTATTTATTTATTTAAATTGATTATGCTGTTACAGTTGTTCTATTCCCCCCTTCATTCCCCTCCACCCTACCCCCCCATCCCTACCATTACCCCCCTTTAGTTTATGACCATGTGTCTCAATTCCTTTAGATTCTACATTTCCCCTGCTATTCTTGCCCCCCCATCTATTTTCTATCTACTGTCTATGCTACTTATTTTCTGTACCTTCTCCCCCCATCTCCTCCTCCCACTCCCCTGTTGCTAACCCTCCTTGAGATCTTCATTTCTATGTTTCCACTCCTGATCTAGCTGTCCTTTTAGTTTGCTTTCGTTTTAGGTGTGGTTGTTAATAACTGTGAGCTTGTTGTCCTTTCACTGTTCATGTTTCTTTAACTTCTTTTTCTTAGATAAGTCCCTTTAACATTTCATATAATAAGGGCTTGGTGATGATGAACTCCTTGAATTTGATCTTATCTGAGAAGTACCTTATCTGTCCTTCCATTCTAAATGAAAGTTTTGCTGGATAGAGCAATCTTGGTTGTAGGTCTTTAGATTTCATGACTTGGAATATTTCTTTCCAGCCCCTTCTTGCCTGTAAGGTCTCTTTTGAGAAATCCGCTGACAGTCTGATGGGGACTCCTTTGTAGGTGATTGTCCCCTTAGCTCTTGCTGCTTCTAGGATTCCCTCCTTCATTTTAATTTTGGCTAATGTAATTATGATGTGCCTTGGTGTATTTCTTCTTGAGTCCAACTTTTTTGGTACTCTCTGAGCTTCTTGGATTTCTTGGACGTCTATTTCCTTTGCCAGATTGGGGAAATTTTCTTTTACTATTTGTTCAAATAAGTTTTCCACTGGTAGCTGTGCCTTTCCCCCTTCTGGTACCCCTATAATTCGGATATTGGAGCGTTTAAAGATGTCCTGGAGGTTCCTAAGCCTCTCCTCATTTCTTTGAATTCTTGCTTCTTGACTCTTTTCTGTTTGGCCATTATTTGGTTTCTTCTGGTCCACTCCATTGATTTGAGTCCCAGTTTCCTTTTCATCGCTATTGGTTTCCTGTGGAATTCCATTCATTTCCATTAGTTTAGCCTTCATATGTTTCTCTAATTTGTGGCTATAATCAACCAGATCTGTAAGGATCCTGATGACCAGTGTTTTAAACTGTGCGTCTGAGAGTTTTGCTATTTCTTCGTCGCTTAGATTTATCTCTGGGGCTTTGAGGTCTTCTTGTGACATTTTTGGTCTGTTCTGGCCCTTTAAGTGTGAGAAGCGGCGCCTTGGACTCCCAGGTCGCTGGGTTGTGACGCTGTATGTGGAGGCGTGGTCAGAGCAGGGAAATGGCGGCGCCCTCTACCGCCGCGGCCAGTCCAACCGCCCACTCCCTCGCCTGTCCGCTCGCGCGCAAATAGGCAACCGCAGTCAACACGCAGCACCGCCTCCCCACTGTCTCCTCTGCAGTCGCTCATCTGGTGGGTTGCTCGGTCACTCACTAGGTCCAATCCTGCGTCTGGATTCGCACGTCTGGATTCCGCGCCTGGGTCCGTCCGACCGAGTCCTCCTGTGCAACCCCTCACCAGACGCCGGTTTCGCCCCTTACCGGTAGGGCTGAAGAATTTGTTGTTAACGGACTTCCGAAAAGTTCAATTTTCTGTGTTCTGGTTGTGTTTTCTGATGCTAATATTTAGTTGTCCCTAAACTTGGTTGTGTGAGAAGGCACGGCACATCCACCTATACCTCCATCTTGGCAGAAGTCTCCTGTTGTGTCTTGTTCTGTTCTTTCATTTGGGCCATATTTCTTTGTGTTCTCATTTTGGCAGCCTCCCTATGTTTGTTTCTGTGTATTAGGTAGAGCTGCTTTGACTCCCTGTCTTAGCAGCATGGCCTGTTGTAGAAAAGCACACCTGTAAATTTTGTGGGGCAGAGCTGTAAGTAATTGGCAGGGAGGGGCAACCTGTGTTACTACTCTGTGGATGTGTAGGTGAAGGATCAGATAGGGGACAGTTCCACTGCCTGGCTTCTGGAGGTTTTCCCAGGAGGAAGCTGTCTCCTGGCATTTACCCTGTTTCCAGCCACTTCACTTTCTCCCCATGTACCACTGGTGCCTTTCCTGCTGTTGCCCTGGTGCTGAATCCCAGAGGGTGTGGGTCTGCATGAGTCCTTAGTTACGCAGACCCTTTAAGAGGAGACTTCTGAAAATCTGGCAGTTCCTTCCCCTGACCCAACCCCCACTGGTTTTTAAAGCCAGAAGTTATGGGGATTTATCTTCCTGGCACTGGAACCCTGGGTTGTGTGGTCTGGCCTGGGGCCCCTCGCTCCTGAGGTATTTCTCCAGATTTTTATCCACGACACACGAATGTGGGACCACCTGTTCTGTCACCTCTCTGTGCCACACCCTGTCTCTGTACCTCTCAGCCCATCTCAACCTCCACCCCTCCTACCCATCTGGATGAATGGTTCTTCTTTAAATCCTTAGTTGTTGGTTTTCCATGCAGCTTGATTTTTGATGGTTCTGGGTGAAATTTGTTTTGTGGTCTAGTTCTAATTTTTTTTCTATTGTGAAGGAGATGAAGTGCCTTTACCTACACTTCCATCTTGGCTGGAAGTCCCAAATTTTAATTTTTGACAATCTATTACTAATAATGTTGAGCATATTTTTCTATTTTCTCACACAATTTCCTTATTACTTTTCTTCAGCAGTGTCTTTATTATTTTCCCTTTGTTCTTTTATATTCAGAAAATATATGAAATGTCCCTCTTTATTCCTCATAGTATTCCTTATTCTTAGTCTTTATCTGATGTTAATATAGCCACTCCAGTTTTTTTTTAGTTTTTATACCTCTTAAAAAGAAATGTAATCCTTACCTAAGAATATGTTTATTGATTTTAGAGAGAGGAAGTGAAAGGGTGAGAGAGAGAGAAACATTGATGTAAGAGAAACATTGATGTAAGAGAAACATTAATCGGTTGTCTCCTGAATGAGCCTCAATTGGAGATTGAGCCAGCAACCCAGGTGTGTGCCCTGACAGGAAATTGAAATTGAAACCTTTTGCTGTATTGGATGACACACCAACCAACTGAGCCACCCAGCCAGTGCTACATGACATCTTTTTTGACATTATTTTACTTTTAATCTATGACTTTGTATTTCAAGTGAATTTCTTGTAGGCAACATAGTTGGATCTTGTTTTTAACTCTGACAATATTTGCTTTCCAGCAGGGGTGTATAGAACATGCACACTCAATGTAGTTATTGATATAGCTGTATTCACACCTGCCATTTTGCTATTTGCTTTTTATTTATCCCATCTCTTCTTTGTTTTTCTTCTTTTTCTGACTTCTCTGAATTTGAGTATTTTTCAGTATTCTGTCTTATCTCTATGTTGGTGTATTAGCTGTACATCTTTGTCTTTTTAGTGCCAGCATTAGAATTTATAATGTTCAAGTTTAAAATATCAGTCATCTTTAAATATTATAACACTTGACATAACATATAAATTGTATAACAGTATACTTCCATTTCTCCCCTCCTATCCTTTATGCTATTATTATATTTTACTTTCATACATATTATAAATCTCATAATGTAGTAATATATCTTTGCTTTATTTTAAGTATATTTTATTGATTATGCTATTATAGTTTTTCCAATTTTTCTCCCTTTATCCCCTTCTTCCCTTCACCCCCAACCCTCTAGCATCATCCCTTAATTCATGTCTATGAGTTGTACGTATAAGTTCTTTAAATTTTCTGTTTCTTGTACCATTTTTGACCTCTCCCTGTCTATTTTTATGCCTCCAAATTATGCTTCTTCTTCCCTGTACCTTTCTCCCCCTATTCCTCCCTTCCCACTCCCCACTGAAATCCTTCCATATGATCTCCATTTCTCAGATTTGGTTCCTGTTCTAATTGTTTGCTTAGTTTTTTTTTTCAGTTTGTCTTTTCTTGTAGGTTCATTTGTTGATATTGTGAGTTTGGTGTCATTTTACTGTTTATAGTTTTGATCTTCTTTTTCTTAAGTCCCTTTAACATTTCATATAATAAGGGCTTGGTGATGATGAACTTCTTTAACTTGACCTTATCTGGGAAGCACTTTATCTACCCTTCCATTCTAAATGAAAGCTTTGCTGGATAGAGTAATCTTGGACGTAGGTCCTTGCCTTTCATGACTTCAAATACTTTTTTCCAGCCCCTCCTTGCCTGTAAGGTTTCTCTTGAGAAGTCAGCTGATAGCCTTATGGGAACTCCTTTGTAGGTAACTGTCTCCTTTTCTCTTTGTGCTTTTAAGATTCTCTCTTTAATCTTGGGTAGCTTAATGATGATATGCCTTGGTGTGTTTCTCTTTTGGTCCAACTTCTTTGGGACTCGCTGGGCTTCCTGGACTTCCCGGAAGTCTATTTTCTTAGCCAGATTGGGGATGTTTTCCAACATTATTTGTTCAAATAAGTTTTCAATTTCTTGCTGTTGTTCTTCTCCTTCTGGCACTTCCATAATTTGGATATTGGAACATTTCAGATTGTCCCAGAGGTTCATAAGCCTCTCTTCACTTTTTTGAATTCTTGTTTCTTCATTCGGTTGGATGTTTATTTTTCCCATTTGTTCCAAATCATTGCTTTGGGTCCTGGTTTCCTTCCTGTCACTGTTGGTTCCCTGAATATTTTGATTTATTTAATTTTGGGTATCTTTCATTTGTTTTCTTTTTTTGTTTGTTTGTTTGTTTTTCATTTTTTGACCAAGCTCAATCAGTTCTGTGAGCATTTTGGTTACCAGGGCTTTACATTCTCCATCAGATAGGTTGGCAATCTCCTCATTGCTTAGTTCTCTTTCTGAAGTTTTGCTCTGTTCTTTCATTTGGGCTGTATTTCTTTTCCTTGGCGCACCTGTTAAATTGTAAGTGGCGGGGCCTTAGGTATTCATCCAGGCAGGGCAACCCTGCCTTGCTGAGCAGTGGTGCTGCCTGTGGGGAAGGGACCAGAGAGGGAACGATGCAGCTCCCCTGCTTGTGTCCAGCCCACTTTCCAAGAACTCTCTCATGTGAGACTGGGAGTTTCTCCCATCATGGTAACTGCCGAGATAGTCCACAGTCAGCTCTGGGCCTCAGTTTCCCCCTCAGCTAGCCCCACCTGTGTGGTCTGCCTCCTCACCACAGGTTCTTAATGGTCCGGTTGTTCTGGTTCACTGTTTATTTAATTCCTTGGTTGTCAGAGTTTCATGCAGTTTGATTTTCTGGCACTTCTGGTTGTTTATTGACTTTAGATTGGTTGTTATCATCCTTTTGGTTGGGCGAGGAAACAAAGGGTTTCTACCTATACCTCCATCTTGGCTGGACTTTATATCTTTGCTTTAAACAATTACTTTTTAAACCAGAGAAAAAGTATCTTTCATATTTACCCACTTAGCTACCATCCCTGGTACTCTTCATTCCTTTGGGTAGAACCAAGTGGAGTTCCTTCTCTTACAATTTTTCTTTTCACTGAAGAGCATCCTTTAACATTTCTTGAGGTGCAGGCCTGCTGGCCGTGTTTGTGTGTCCAAGTCCATGGGTTCCCTTCCTTCAGAGCCCTTTTATTGATTGGCCTATCTGCGTAGTAGCCTCGGACAGAAACATTAAAGTCCTACTTGCTGTTTACCGCCAGCTACCCTTCTGTTCCTGGACTCATCTCCAAGCCGTCTAGGAAAATTAAAAAATGAGTGTCCTGTTGCTTTTTCCCCTGGTTTTCTGTGATTTTGCAGCATGAAAATGAGCCCAAGGCCTTTGGTTGTTTCTCATTTTTGTCATTTACCTACTCACATTTATAATTCTCACTCATCCAAGTTAATCACTTGGGGCAGAGCTCTTTAGAACTTTCTCCCTTTGATGTTCAGGCAGACTCCCTACCTGAGTTTAGAGAGTATTTATGTCCCAGTTTCATGATGCCTGGCAAATAGTTTTTAATCCTTACCCGAGGATATGTTATTCATGTGATAGGGAGAGAGAAGGAGGGAGAGAGAGGGAGAGATGCAAGAGGGAAACATTGAACAGTCACCTCCTATATGCACTTGGAATGGGGATTGAACCCACAACCTCAGTGTGCCCTGACTGGGAGTGGAACCCACAATGTTTCGGTGAATGAGATGATGCTGCAGCCAACTGTTCCATCTGGCCAGAGTCTGGCAAATTGTTCTTAGAGAGTATGTTTAGTCTTCATATTGATGGAGGTTTTTAAAAATACGCTTTTTATTTGGGAATACTTTGACAAATTTTTCATTTAATGGTGGGAGAGAGATCGATTGACTGATTTGTGCTTCCACTTACTCACGCATTCACTGGTTGCTTCTTGTATGTGCCCTGACTGGAGATTGAACCTGCAACACTTGCTTGTCGGGACAAAGCTCTAACAACTGAGCTACCTAGCCAGGGCTTTAGGAATGATTTTAGGTTTAGAGAAAAGGTACAAAGATAAGACAGAGTTCCTATATTCCCACACCCAGTTCCCCCGAATATATCTTTTAGATTATCATGGTACATATGTCAGAATTAAGAAACCAACATTGGTATATTAGTATCAACTCCAGACTTTATTTACATTAACCAGTTTTTCTACTGTCTTTTTGTTATTGTTCCAGAATCTATACATGAACTTTTCTTCTCTATTTTAAATAAATATTTTATTTATTTATTTATTTATTTATTTACAGACAGAGGGGAAGGGTGGGAGGAAGACAGGGAGGGAAATATCAGTGTGTGGTTGCCTCTTGCACACCCCCCACCAGGGACCTGGCCCACAACCCAGCCATGTTCCCTGACTGGGAATTGAACCAGCAACCCTTTGGTTTGCATGCTGTTGCTCAATCCACTGAGCCACACCAGCCAGGGAGATTCTTCAGGTTCATTTTAGTTGGTTTCATGTCTAAGTGTTAAATATGTACTTCATGCCCCTAAATTCACTGGTTATTCTCACTATTACTTTATAAACCACTTGCATTTTCTTGCTGAGAACTACAATCTAAATGCCTTGCTTGATAAAGACCCCGACAGAACAAATCACTGGAAATGTTAATTTTGCATTTAATATTTTTCGTTGCACTCTAACAGTATTTTTAAACACCTAATGTAAACACTAACTTGCCTACAACTAATGTTATAACTTTTAACTTTTGTGCTTAGTTGTCAGTTTCTGCAAAATATGAAAGCCTCTGCACAGGTGACCCCAGACCTTCATAGACGTGCTGGACTGGCTGGATTAACGGTAACGCACAGTGCCATCTTGTTTGTTTGCGCAGTCCATGGTTGAAAACTGGTATTGAACAGAAATTGCTTTCCTAAATAAGTAAATAAATAAATTCTATAAACACAGATTGAGCACCTATGATGTGCAGGGTATGGATGGGAATACTGCAGTAAACAAGTAAGACGTAATGCGTAGCTTCATTAAATGTAGACTCAATCCCTTCTACGTTGGGGCCCAGACTCCTTTAGTCTTAGAGGTGATGAGCATCCCAGCTGCCTGGATTCTACTGGCAATCTTCATTTGGAGGATAGTAAGGTCTGACTTGCTACTTGGCCATTCTCAGGGTTGTAAAGATGTTTCTTTTACAAAGGCAAATGACCAACTAAATCATAAGCCCAGGTAATAGGTTGGCCCCTTTAACCTGAGAAATCCCTCATGGTTCTCTGGGATGTAAGCCACTGTCCATTTCACACGCATACACACTCCTTATTTGAGGCTGTATATTAGGTATATTATGTTTGTCATCCTACAGGGGAAAAAGTAACAGGCTATTCATTTGATTCTAATTTGTATTAGTGAGCTGAAAAATAAAATTGAAGAAAAAATTGGGAGGGAATTGGAGGAACAAGTATGAAGGACACAGGGACAAGAACTAAGGGGGGTGGAAATGGGAGGGAGGTGGGGAGCACGGGGTGGGTGGGCTGGAATGGGAGAAATAGACAGAAAACTGTACTTGAAAAATAACGAAATAAAATTTTAAAAAAAGAAAAAATTTGGGATATATAAATAGCTTATTTTTTAAGGAAGAAACATAACCTTCCTATGTGCCAGTATGTAATATTAAACATGTTAATAATGAGGGCCAACAGCTGTATGTAAGGGTTTTTGGAGGCTCTAGATGCAATGATTCTGATGACCTGGACAGTGGTCACTGCTTGACTCACACATGTCCACCACCCAGGAGCACGCACTTACAGATGTTTGCAGGTGACGTGTTACTCCGGCTTGTACCCCTCTTCCCTTCGATTGGCATACATATGTATATGACGATTGTTTAGACAATGTTTGGTTCCCAATTATGCCATGATGTCTCACCCTCTTAAACAAACTTTTAAAAATGTATTTATTGATTGATTGGAGTGAGGGAGAGGAAAGGAGAAAGAAAAATGTCAGTTTGCTTTTCCACTTATTGATACATTCACTGATTAATTCTTGTATGTGCCCTGACTGGGAATATTGAAACTGCAACCTTGGTGTGTACTGGGGACAATGCTCCAACCAACTGCACCACCAGGACAGGGCCTTTTATACAAATTTTGATCTAATAGAGGATTTTATTTTCAAAGGAAATCACAAGTGAAAGCAATCTTGAAGATTCAGCAGCAGTTAGTTCTATAGCGCCAGGTAAGGATTTTAAAGTAGTTCATGGGATTGTATATGGGGGGGGGACCATAATATCCCCAGAATTACTTCTGGAGGGCAGGCCCCTTGTAGTACAGGCTTCCCCCACTCGGTGAGTGTTCTAGGAACCCATCTGTATTAGTGTATGAGCTGGCATTGTTGTGAGAGGATGCCTTCAGCTTCAGTGAATTTTTTTGGAAGACTCTCAACACATTTACCCACCTGATAGGTGATTTACTAGTGCACCTGCCCATACCACACTGAGTGTTCAGCAGTTTTTTGATTAAAAAATGCTGTTACGGTGGTCTATGATGTGGGCTGTGGAAGAATTCATAAAGAGAAGAAAGTGCAGAGAGTAAAAGTTTTTATTTTATTTTCCCAAGGGAGAGAAAGGGCTAGGTGCTGGGGAGGAATGCACCGGAGGGGTTAGGGCTTTGGGCTTTTGGGGGGCAGTGAGTGGTTGTAGAGCAGGATGTTTTGGTTGGGCGGTAGCAGGATAACATGGAAAGATAACTTGTTTCCATGTTATCTTTGGGTGCAGGGTCCCGTCTGGTGTGTCCTGTTTTATAAATTCTCAGAGCCTCTATGCCTTCAGGGTGCTTCTAGTAATTTTCTAGTCCTGAGGATAAAGGTTCACAAAACAATTGGGGTCAGTCATCTTTATGGGGTCCAGCCAGTTCTGGGAAAGAGGGTCTGAGAAAGAGGCTTTTGTTCTATTAACCCCATGCCCTACCCTCCCAACTCACCCAATTTCACCCCAAATGACTGTTTCCCTGGATGAAAAAGTCCTCAAAGGGAAACATTTTGCCAGTGTGGAAGAGATGAAATAGAAAATGGCAAAAGCACTAAAAGGCATCAAAATTGAGTTCAAAAACTGTTTTGAGCAGTGGAAAAATGTCTCCGTAGGTATATTGCATCAAATGGAGAGTTCTTAGAAGGTGACTGAAGTTTAAACATGTAAAAATAAGTACACAAGTTTTTAGAAGTAAATTCTGTTTTGGGGGTCCCCCCTTGTATATGTGTGCATACATTTATATTAGGGGACTTTTAGAAGAGAGAGGGTCTTTAATCGTGCCTCCTTTCTTCTCTCCACAGAGGTGGCCCCGCGTGAAGCCCAGTGGCTTCAGGAGGCGAAGAGTCTGAACCAGCGGCTGAGAGAGGCCTACATCAATGCTAGTTTCCGCCGGATGTGTTTGCTTGAGCTCTCTTCCTGTCTAGCCACAGACCATTTGCTGAGTTGCGACCTGTCCCTTGTTTCAAAACACATCAGCAGTCCTGTGCAACAACCTGTGCTGTTGTCTGAAGTCTTTACCAATTTGAACTCTGTCATGTGTGTGGAGGGCGAGGCTGGTAGCGGAAAGACAGTCCTCCTGAAGAAAATAGCTCTTCTATGGGCATCAGGATGCTGTCCCTTGTTAAACAGGTTCCAGCTGGTCTTCTATCTCTCCCTTAGCTCCACCAGACTGGACCAAGGGCTGGCCAGCATCATTTGTGACCAACTCCCAGAGACAGAAGGATCTGTTACTGAAATGTGCCTGGGGAACATCATCCAGCAGTTAAAGAGCCAGGTGTTATTCCTTTTGGATGACTACAAAGAAATGTGCTCAGTCCCTCTAGTCATAAAAAAACTGATTCAAAGAAACCACTCATCGAGGACCTGTTTATTGATTGCCGTCCGCACAAACAGGGCCAGGGGCATCCGCCAGTACCTAGATATGACTCTAGAGATCAAAGCATTTCCCTTCTACAATGCCATCTACATATTACGGAGTTTCTTTTCTCATGATATAGCCCGTCTGCGAAAGTTTATGTTTCACTTTGGAGTAAATAAAAATTTTCAGGGAATTCAGAAAACTCCTCTTTTCGTAGCAGCAGTCTGTGATAATTGGTTCCAGTATCCTTTTGACCACTCCTTGAATGATTTTGCTGTTTTCAAGTCCTATATGGAATGCCTTTTCTTAAAGTACAAAACTTCAGCTGAACTTCTGAAAGTAACTGTGTCCTCCTGTGGTGACCTAGCCTTGAAAGGGTTTTTTTCATCTTGCTTCGAGTTTAGTGATGATGACCTCAGAGAAGCAGGGGTTGATGCAGATGAAGATCTCACCATGTGCCTGATGAGCAAATTCACAGCCCAGAGACTCAGACCAGTCTATCGGTTTTTAGATCCCACCTTCCAAGAATTTCTTGCTGGGAAGAGGCTGATTGTACTCCTGGATTCAGACAGGCAAAAAGACCAAGATTTGGGACTTTATTATTTGAAACAAATCAACTTATCCATGGTGATTAGAAGTTATTGTATGGGTTTTTTGAGGTATATCTCCTGTTTCTACTACCCTTCAACAAAGGCAGGGCCAAAGATTGTATCTCATTTACTTCATCTGCTGGATAATAAGGAGTCACTGGAGAATGTGTCTGAAAAAGATGACAATCTGAAGCACCATTCGGATGTTTGGGGGATGATGACGTTAATTAAGATGTTGCAGCAATTATCTCCACAACATTCCTTCTTACTGGTTTCAGAACGTCTGCTGTCTCTTGCCATAAAAATTGCTTATCAAAGCAACACCGTTGCTGCGTGTTCTCCATTTATTTTGCAGTTCCTTCAAGGGAAGACCCTGAATTGGCATGTGCTTAACTTACAGTATTTTTTTGACCACCCTGAAAGCCTGTTATTGCTGAAGAGCATCCAAGTCTCCATACGTGGAAAAATAGAAATCAGGACACCCATCCCAGATAGTTCAGTCCTGGAAAGGTGTTGGGACAAATCACAGGCACCGACTATACATCAGGACTGTGCTTCCGCCTTTGAACCAATGAATGAATGGTCGCGGAATTTAGCTGAAAAACAGGAAAACATTATGAGATTTCAGAATATGAAAGTTAGTGCATCACCAGACATCAGCACCGGCTATTGGAAACTTTCTCCAAAGCAGTGCAAGATTCCCCTTCTGGAAGTTCATGTGACTGATATGGATTGTGTGGACCAAGTGATGCTTAGGGTTCTGATGGAAGTTTTCTCAGCTTCACAGCGCATTGAGCTTCATTTACAGAACAGCAGGGGCTTTGTTGAAAGCCTTCGCCCAGCTCTTGAGCAATATAAGGCTTCTTTCACCAGGTGCTCCATAAGTGAATTTGAGTTGAATGCAGTAGAACAGGAATTGCTTCTCAACCTGCCTTCCCTGGAATCTCTTGAAGTCTCAGGAACAACCCGGGTACAAGGTATACCTGAATATATTTTAGCTGGCTATTCAGATGGTAATTTTATCTGCCCACTCTTAATTTTAGGTGGATGAAACTTATGAAAGCATGAGACCATAAATGATTGCTGATAGAATACGTATTATAAAATAAGCTTTCACTAATTTATTTTTGTCAGTAGTATGAATTAGTGACAGGCCTCTAAACAGAATGATTTTCAAACAACTCAGATAAAAATCAGTATAAATTAACTAATTTCAAACACTTCAGATAAAAAAATAATAAAATATTGCCCATGCTGGTTTGGCTCAGTTGGTTGAAGTGTCATCCTCTATAGTAAAATGTTGGGGGTTCAATTCCCAGTCAGGGCACATGCCTTGGTTGCAGGTTTGCCCCCCCCCCCCCCCCCGTCCAGGCATGTCTGGTAGGCAACTAACTGATGTTTCTCCCTCTCTCTCTGTCCCGTTCTCTCTCTCTAATATCAATAAACATAAAGTGATAATAGAAATATGAACTTAATAAACAGGCACAATTTACTTTTTATTAGTAAATAATAATCTGTATGTAGAGATGATTCTTGAAGATTACCCCCCCACCCTCTTAATGGGAAGAAGAGCTTATACATTATGGGAAATAAATAAATGGTAAATAATATCTCCCATTTATTTGTGTCTCCTTTCACTTCTGTTTTTTTTATTGATTATGCTGTTACAGTTGTTCTATTCCCCCTTTATTCCCCTCCACCCTACCCCCCATCCCCACCATCACCCCCCCTTTAGTTTATGACCACGTGTCTCAAGTCCTTTAGATTCTATATTTCCCAAGCGCTATTCTTGCCCCCCCATCTATTTTCTATCTACTGTCTATGCTACTTATTTTCTGTACCTTCTCCCCCCTTCTCCTCCTCCCACTCCCCCTGTTGCTAACCCTCCTTGAGATCTTCATTTCTATGTTTCCACTCCTTCTAGCTGTCCTTTTAGTTTGCTTTCGTTTTAGGTGTGGTTGTTAATAACTGTGAGTTTGTTGTCCTTTCACTGTTCATGTTTCTTTAACTTCTTTTCTCTAGGATAAGTCCCTTTAACATTTCATATAATAAGGGCTTGGTGATGATGAACTCCTTGAATTTGATCTTATCTGAGAAGCACATTATCTGTCCTTCCATTTTAAATGAAAGTTTTGCTGGATAGAGCAATCTTGGTTGTAGGTCTTCAGATTTCATGACTTGGAATACCTCTTTCCAGCCCCTTCTTGCCTGTAAGGTCTCTTTTGAGAAATCCGCTGACAGTCTGATGGGGACTCCTTCGTAGGTGACTGTCCCCTTAGCTCTTGCTGCTTCTAGGATTCTCTCCTTCATTTTAATCTTGGCTAATGTAATGATGATGTGCCTTGGTGTGTTCCTTCTTGGGTCCAACTTCTTTGGGACTCTCTGAGCTTCCTGGATTTCCTGGAAGTCTATTTCCTTTGCCAGATTGGGGAAATTCTCCTTTATTATTTGTTCAAATAAGTTTTCCACTGGTGGCTGTGCCTTTCCCCCTTCTGGTACCCCTATAATTCGGATGTTGGAGTGTTTAAAGATGTCCTGGAGGTTCCTAAGCCTCTCCTCATTTCTTTGAATTCTTGCTGCTTGACTCTTTTCTGTTTGGCCATTATTTTCTTTCTTCTGGTCCACTCCATTGATTTGAGTCCCAGTTTCCTTTTCATTGCTATTGGTGTCCTGTGCAATTCCATTCATTTCAATTAGTTTCGCCTTCATATATTTGTCTAATTTGTTGGTATAATCAACCAGTTCTGTGAGGATCCTGATCACCAATGTTTTAAACTGTGCGTCTGTGAGTTTTGCTATTTCTTCATCGCTTAGATTTATTGGCTCTGGGGCTCTGAGATCCTCCTGCGCCATTCTTGGTCTGTTCTGGCCCTTTAAGTGTGAGAAGCGGTGCCTTGGATTCCCAGGTCGCTTGGTTGTGACGCTGCATGTGGGGGCGTGGTTAGAGCAGGGAAATGGCGACCCCCTCTGCCGCATCTCACAGCTGGGTGCGGAGGAGCATTGCCTTAGGTGGTTCACCTGGGCCGAGCCACTCAGAGTCGCTGGGTTATGACGCTGTATGTGGAGGTGGGGTCAGAGCAGGGAAATGGCGGCGCCCTCCACTGCCGCTTGCCGTGGGGACCTGCCGGCCCGGTCCAACTGCCCACTCCCTCGCCTGTCCACCCTCGCACAAATGTGCGACCTCAGTCAACACGCAGCCCCGGGCCCGGCTGTCTCCCCTGAGGTCGCTCGCCTGGTTGCTCGCTGGGTCTCTCACTAGGTCTGACCCTGCGCCTGGATTCCGCGGGCCTGAGTGTGTCTGGCTGAGTCCTCCTGCGAAACCCTGCTCCGCCAGCCGCTGATTTCGCCCCTTACCGGTCAGGCTGAAGAATTTGTTGTTAACGGACTTCCGAAAAGTTCAATTTTCCGTGTTCTGGCTGTGTTTTCTGTTGCTAATATTTAGTTTTCTCTAATCTTGGTTGTGTGAGAAGGCACAGCACATCCACCTATGCCTCCATCTTGGCAGAAGTCCTCCTTTCACTTCTTTAAGTAGTGTCTGAAAGCTTTCAGTGTGGGCTTTATATTTCTTTCATTAAATTTATTCCTAGGCACTTGTGTTCTTTCATACTTGTGTAAATAACATTTAATTTTTTTTTCAATCTTGGTTTTTCAACAGTTTGTTATATACCTTAGTATGCTTTGCTTTGTATTTGTCTTGCTTGAGAGCAACTGAACATTTTTGGATCTGTGGGTTATTTATCATCAAATTTATAAAAATGTTTGCTTCATATTTTCAATATTTCTTTTATTTTAGTAAAATGTACATAAAATGTACAATTCTAACCATTCACTGAACCATTCAGTGACATCAAATACATTTCCAGTGTTGTGCAACCATCCCCACTGTCCATTTCCAAAACCTTTTCATCATCCCAGACAGAGCTCTGTAATTATGAAATAATAACTCCTTCCTCTCCTCAGCTGCTGATAACATCTGTCCTACTTTATGTCTCTATGAATTTGCCCAGTCTAGATATTTCATATCAATGGAATCAGACAATATGTTGTCCTTCTGTGTCTGACTTATTTCACTTGGCACGTGTTCAAGGTTCATCCAGGTTGTGCCATGAATTAGAACTTAATTCCTTTAATAGCCGAGTAAATATTCCATTGTATGTACAGTATGTATATATGTGTGTGTGCTTTTAATTCTTTTAGATATATGCTGAGAAGTGGAATTGCTGCATCACATTAATAATAGTAATTATATTTATTTATTGAGGAATCTCTAAACTGTTTTCCACAGTGGCTGCACCATTGTACATTTCCACAGGCAATGCGTGGGGGCTCCAGGTTCTCTCCATGTCCTCATCAATGCTTGCTTTTGTTTGTTTGTTTGTTTTTAATCATAAAGGCAACCTATTAGGTGTGAGGTGACATTTCATTATAGCTTTGATTTGCATTTCCCAAGTGACTAATTATTTGAGCATATTTTCATGTGCTTACTTATTGGCCATTTGCGCCATTTTTTTGAGACATGTCTCTTATGTCCTTTGCCCAATTTTCAATTGTGTTGTCTTTGTGTTCTGGGTTGTAGTTCTTTTGTATATTCTGGATTTTAAATCCTTATTGGACATATGGTTTGAAAATATTTTCTCCTATTCTGTAGATTGTCTTTTTAAAAAAATATTTTTATTTATTTTTTAGAGAGGGGGGAAGTAGGGAGAAAGAAAGGGAGAGAAATATCAGTTATGTGAGAGAAACATCAACTGGTTGCCTCTTGCATGTCCCCAACCGGGGACCTGGACCACAACCCAGGCACGTGCCCTGACTGGGAATTGAACTAGTGACCTTTCAGTTTACAGGAATAACACTTAACCCACTGAGTCATACCAGTCAGAGCTGTGGATTGTCTTTTCAGTGTCTCCATTTTGTCCTTCAATGTCCTAATTTTTAATTTTTAAAAAATATTTTATTTATTTATTTTCAGAGAGAGGGGAAGGGAAGGAGAGAGGGAGAGAAATATCAATGTGTGGTTGCCTGTCATGTGTCCCCCACTGGGAACTGGCCCGTACCCCGGCATGTGCCCTGACCGGGAATCAAACCGCGATCCTTTGCTTCACAGGCCCATGCTCAATCCACTGAGCCACACCAGCCAGGGCTAATTTTTAAATTTTGATGAAGTTCAATTTATCTATTTTTGCTAGTGCTTTTGATCTAAGAACCCATTGATGATTCCAAGGTCATGAAGATTTTACCCCTATATTTTCTTCAAAGAGTTGTATGGTTTAAATATTATATTCAGGTTGTTGACCCATTTTGAATTAATTTTGTATATGGTGCTATAGGGTGGTGGGTCCAACTTCAATCTTTTGCGTGTAGAAATCCAGTTGTCCCAGCAATATTTTTTGAAACAAGGTCTTATTTTTGTGAATCTAGACAGCAGCACAAGGTTTCTCACACAGTAGTAGGTAATCAATAATGCCACATAAAATAGTATCTTCATATATGTACTTTTTAGAAAAGAATGTTTTATGGTATGTGAAGAGTTTTCATGTGAAAATAGCTTGATGAGTCACAATGTTAGTTTCCAGTTTTCCATTTGGAACTCTTCAGGTTGATCATAGAAAACTGTGTGTCGCTTTCTAGATCAACTGTTTTCTCATTTGGACAAGTTCCTGTACCTGAAAGAACTGTCTGTGAATGTGGAGGAAAAAAACGTTTTTGCAGTCATTCCTGAAAAATTCCTAAATCTCCACCATATGGAGAAATTACTGATCCATATTTCAGCTGAGGATAGCCCTTCTAAACTAGGTAAGTATGGCACTTTGATTGACTTGTTTTTACATCACTTGGTAGACCTACTTGGCCAATGATTCATTTAAGAGTTAAAGCTTCTGCGGATCTGTGGCTATAGCCTCTATCTGTGATAAATTGTGGGAATAGCACTTTCTCATGAAGAAAGCAGGGAACTATTTGTAATTATTGAGCCCTTACTACATGTTAGCGTGGTCAGTGACACCAGTTATGAAAAAATTCACAAAGAGAAGAAAGGGGAGAAAATAAAGTTTTTATTCACTTTCCAAGAGAGGAGAGGGGCTTGGTGAGGAGAGATATACCAGCATTAAGGGGTGGGGGCTTTGAGCTTTTATCTGGTAATCAAGGTGGTTGTAGAGCAGGATGTTTCAGTTGGTCTTCTGGAGGCTGCAGCTTGTTTCATGTTATCTTTGGGTGCGAGCAGAGTCCTGTCGCTATAATCTGGCATGTCCTGTTTGTAAGTTCTCTGTGCCTTCAGGGCACTTCCAGGAATTTTCTAGTCTTTAGGATAGAGGCTCATAAAACAAGAATCAGTCAGGCTAGCTCTGGCCAAGTGGGCCTAAAAACGGGACTTTTGTCCTATTACTTTACTACATGCTAGGGAATTGTTACAAGAATTTTACAAATATTAACTCACTTAACCCTCATACTTGTTCTGTGAGGTAAGGTACTATTTTTATGCTCATTTTACAGCTGGGAAATTAAGATGTAAAGAGATTAAGTAATTCACTCAAGGTTACCCAGCTAAGGAAATGGTAGATCTGTGATTTAAACACAGGAATTCTGAATAAAAAGTCTGAGCTTTAAACACTTGTATACTGCCGCTCCAAAATAATTGGTAGAGTTCTTTTATTTTGTTTTTAAATTTTAAATGTTTTTGTTTTTAACAGAGCTGCCAGATTAGGTGGAAGTAAATAGGATGATTGGTAGCAATGGGAAGGAAGCATTTCCCTGTTTTTCTTACCATCCTATCCTCATGGTTAATGGACACCTTGTGTAGCCAACTTTCTTAAATACATCATTTGGCAAAATGACTTAGGCACCATTGATTCCTTAATTTAGTAAAGACTGGAAACTAAGGACTGAGGAAATATAAATTTCTATGGAATTGACGTGCAGAGTTGCATTCAAAAGAATTCACTGAGCTGAAGCTGAAAGTAGCTGTTTTCTTACTTGTTAGCAATTTTTGCATCAAATTTAGGTTTTGTTTCAGAGTTATCATTGCTTTTATTTCTTTGTATAGTACCTCTATTTTGTAAATGTCATGTACAAACTTAGAAGCATTAGGATGTTAAAGCTGAAGATGAATTTACTGGGTCAATGCCCTAATTTTATCAGTATACTGATCTCCAGAGAGGGTCAGTAACTACACGTCCAAATTCACATAGATTGCTAGTTAGTTGCAGAACCTGAATCTAAGCACATAGTGGCCTGATTCTTGGATCATTACATCATGGTGCTATGTTTTAATTCAAAATTGTTGAATTGAAATAACAGATTATATGGCTAATCCTGGTAGAAATGTGTAATTTTCCCTAACTTCTTAAATCTTTGATCTTTTACAGTTAAATTAATTCAGAATTCTCCAAACCTTCAAGTTTTCCATCTGCATTGTAACAACTTTTCAGATTTTGAGTCTCTCATGATTGTACTTGCGTCCTGTAAGAGACTAAAAGAAATTAAGTTTTCTGGAGCATTTTTTAACATCATCCCATTTGGTAAGAGGTACAATCATGAAATCTTGGTTTAAGATGCTTCTGTGGACAGTCATGTTAAGCACTTTTTAAAAATAGCCAAATTTTAAACATGTAATTGATGTTAAAGAACTATCATAATAGACATAATCCTAAATGAGTTATCAAATAAATTGTACTCAATTCTAGAAGTTTAAATATTTCTAGTTATCAGAATTATTTCCTGAGCAAAGATTTATCTACTTAGTCATACTAATTAATTTTATCTAAATTATTGTATTACTTTTTGGTATAAGAGTATTACTTTTTGGTATAAAGTTGTAGCTAACATAACAGATTTTTATTTTCCCTTTTATAGTCGCCATTTTGCCAAATTTTATTTCTCTGAAGATATTAAATCTCCAACACCAATATTTTTCTGATAAGGAAACATCTGAAAAATTTGGTATGTTTTTATAAAACTGTGCCTTTTACTTATTCTTTATTATCATCCTCCCAAAATCCTTCACCTATTTTGTATTACCTACAACAAATCATGATATATATTAACTACCCCAGCTAATTAGGAGGAAGGGGACAGTGCTGTTCAACTAGTACCCTTAAATGCCTTGAATGTCCTCAGAGTGCCTTATTTCTTAAAATACATAGTTGCTCATTTTAGCACTATGCAGTTTCATTGGCAGGTACCCACCCATTCCAAACATGTTAATTCTGTGTTGTTTGAAGAGTTTCTGGGATATAGGTAAAACTTTCTTTTAAGGTTATGAAAACTAAGTGTATAAAAGCCCAGATTTAACAGAATAATTAGCTGTAGAAAGAGCTTAAATACTTTTGCATATTTTTCTGATTAGAAAAGTAATGTATGCCCATGGGAAATAAAAGATAAACTGAGGCATATTAAAATTTTTAAGAGTTTATTTGAGCAAAAATGGATTTGAACCAGGCAGCATCCAGTGTAGGAGACAGAAAGAAGCACAGGGGAGCTATACAGAATCTCGTTCATAGGCAGAAGAGAACAGGAACCAGGAAGTTGTATGAGGCAAAAAAGTGAGTTGGTGATGGCAAGGTCACCTTCTTTTAGGGGATGGTAGGGGTCTTTCAGGCATATTTCTAACTAGTGCTGATCAGTTGATTCCATTTCTTAGAGAGCTGAAAGTCTAAGTTTTGGTTTGGTGACATGGGGCTTAGCATAAGCAACTCCATTTTGGGCTTATGTCTCATTTTTAACACAGGAAAATATAAGGTGAATGGAGATACCAAGTGTTGAGCAGTTAGTGCCTCTTAAACTTTAGCATGCTTCAGGATCACCTGTATCTCCTCTTCCTCTTTTCTTCTTTTGGAGGCAGCCATGTGGGTGGGGGAGAAGCAGAAGGTCTGAAGGAGCAGGGGCAGGATCAGGGGTCAAGGAAGTGCCTGGCATATACAACAGGTTGCTTAAGCAAATACACTGAGTAGAATGAGAGCCAAGTTTCCTCACTGTTAGAGAACAAATTTATAAATATTAAAAGGGTAGGTTAAGAAGAACTCTGAGGTATTAAGTTAGGATTAGAAGTACTGGTGTGCGCTCATGATTTTTCACCTGTTCACGTTGATAAATAGATCAATATACACACAGATATGTACATTTATCTATATATTTCTATATATAAACACACATATATTGGGTTGGCCAAAAAGTCTGTTTAGTTTTTTAAAATAAAATATGCATTTTTAATTTTCACCAATCACTTTATTGATGTGGATGTTTTGAGTATGTCAGCTATCTCCTATGTGGTGTAATGTTAACTATTCTCAATTAATGTCTCGATTTGATCACTATCAACTTCAACTGGTCTACCTGACCATGGAGCATTGTCCAATGAGAAATCTCCAGCATGAAACTTTGCAAACCACTTTTGACATGTTCAATCAGTTATGGCACCTTCTCCATACACAAATCTTGCCATTGCCTTTCAGTTGTGTTTTTACCTTTCTTGAAATAATAAAGCATAAGATGCCAAAAATTTTGTATATTTTCTTCCATCTTCAATATTAAAATGGCTACACCAAAATTTTCCAATTTTGATGTTTTTTTTTAAATGCACCCTGATATGAAGCTATCTCAGTACAATCCAAAAAAATTGTTTTGAAGAAGTTAAAGACAACTAAATATAACTAGAGGTATTTTATGAGAAAAACCAAACAAACTTTTTGGTCAACCCAGTATTTCTAAATTCAGTCAACTAAGAGACTAGAAAGCACCTTAAGAGCAATGAGCAAACCAAATGCCCAGATCTTGACTTTTAATACTGGCTTCCCCAAAAGGAACCCGAGTTCTTGGAGAAATGGCTGATGTAAGAACTGGGACAGAGAAAGTAAAAGATAAGCCTGTAACATTGTTTTACGGTAGAAACATTCAAAACCTCTCCAGGTGTGAGGCCTCAGAAGTAGAGAACTTTTTAGGGATCAAGCAATCCATAACATATCCTGTTAAGGAGGAATCAAAAGAAAGAGTGTGAAGCTTTGGTGCTGTGAGGCAGAGGTCGAAATCACTGAGATAACAGCAGGAGGTCAGATTGAAAAGACGGGGGATGAAGGCCTTGAGGAGCTAGGAGAGTGTCCAGGATGCCAGTAGAAGCTACAGTCTAAAAGAAGAAATGGATATGCGATAGGTATTCTGGAATCCAGTGTAGGAAAGATTGAATGGGGAGGGTTAAAAAATGGTTGTCGAATTAACAGTGAAGATCAAGGTGTAGGCTGACCACTCTCTCTTGTCCTTGGAGAGGAAGAGGAATAGTCTCTATGCTACATGGGGCTACCTGCCCTGTGCATGACTTTGAAGCTAGAGATCCCTGTTTGGGAACACAGTATGAAAAGGAGCTTTTTTCCCCCTCTTCCGATAGCCTACACTTTAGGGTCTCTTAATAACCTGGAAGAATTGATCCTTCCTGCTGGAGATGGGATTCATCAAGTGGCTAAACTGATCATCCAGCAGTGTCAGCATCTTCGATGTCTCCGAGTTCTCTCATTTACCAAGATTTTAAATGATGACAGTGTAATGGAAATTGGTGAGTTACCCTCAGGCATGTCTCAGCTTGCATGTCTCAGCTTGCATGAAAGCCAGTCACATTACTCTTTTTCTGCTGCAAGATGTCTATGAAACCTCTTGTCTCTCTAAAAGTGCTCAACCCACTTCCTCATTTTCATTATCTTATAGTTCCCTCTTAGGTTCTGTTGATTTAGGCATTCTGGTCAGATTTGGAAATGAAAGATGTCCTCCCATTTCAGACTAGATAAGCCCTCAAGCCTGTGTTCTTGACACCCAGTGCTTCAGACTTCTGGCCACATACATTCTATGTACTTCTTTTTACAATATTTTAAAAAATTGAATATCAATACACATACAGGAAAGTACATAAGTGTACAGCTCAATAATTTTCATTTTCTCAGCACCTCAGTCTCTAAAGTTAGTCATACTACAAGCATGGATTCTAGAGTGAAACCAAACCTACCCTTTGCCCAAATGAGGAAAAAGAAATTTAGCAATTAAAAACAAAAACGAGCCTGGCTGGTGTAGCTCAGTGGATTGAGCACGGGCTGTGAACCAAAGGGTCGCCAGTTCGATTCCCAGTCAGGGCACACGCAGGCCAAGTCCCCAGTGGGGGTACGTGAGAGGCAACCACACATTCATGTTTCTCTCTCTCTTTCTCCCTCCTTTCCCCTCTCTCTAAAAAGAAATAAATAAAATCTTTAAATAAATAAATAAAAACAAAACCGAAGACCTTGCTAGGTATCCACTTCCAAAGTGAAGTCAGCCTATATTAATCGGGAACCTCTTGCATGCCAGGCTCCCATATCCTTCCGAACCCTCAATAACAAGGGGGTGCCCTTCGGGCCGCAGGTACAGTGTACGGCAGCAGACAGTGAGAAGACATGGTCTGAAGAATGTCAGATCTTCTCTGTAAAAGGGGAGATGGTGTGGTTGCCACAGTCTCTGTTGTCCCTTGTAACTTAGCCTGTTTCTTGGCCATGCTGTGCTTGCACGCCCGGCTTCCTGGGAGACCGAAAAGGAAGTCCAAATAGGCACAGAATGACAAAACTCTCATAGCACAAGTGACTTCACTGCTCTAGGGCTGAACTTCGTGCCTCTGGTTTCTGCTTTTCCCTGGGGTTTTGGCCAGTTCTTCGTTAACCAGTCAGCTCTTTGGGACTTTTAAGAAGATATTTTAAGAATATTTTATTGGCATTTTCTACTTTCGGTGGTGGTGGTGATCACGGGAGGAGAGGCTGGTTCAAACAACTGGGCCTACCATTATCGAAGTAAAAGTCGTAATGATTCTGATTTCATAAATATTTTGCTTTTATAGCCAAAGTAGCACTCAACGGAGGTTTCCAGAAACTTGAGAACTTAGATCTTTCAATGAATCACAGGATTACAGAGGAAGGATACAGAAATTTCTTTCGAGCACTGGACAACTTGCCAAACCTGCAAGAGCTGAACATTTCCAGGCATTTCACTGACTGCATCAGAGCTCAGGCTGCCTCAGTCAAGTCTCTGAGTCAGTGCATGCTGCGGCTGCCACGCCTCACCCAAATTGGCATGCTGAGTTGGCTCCTGGATGCGGAAGACATCGCACTGCTTACTTCTATGAAAGAAAAACATCCTCAATCTGAGCACCTGACTATTTCCTGGAAATGGGTATTGCCATTCTCTCCTATCATTCAGAAATAGAAGTTTGGTTAAAACTACTGAATGAAGAAAATATTGGTCAAAAATTCTAAAAACCTAATATCCAAAAACATTTTATTTAGTGTGACATACAGAAGGCATGTAAAAATAACAACCCGGCTTGCACATCACTGAGCTTAAGAACCAGATTTTAAAAAAGAAAAGAAAAAAATTATCACCAGTACTTTTGAAGTCTCTGAATGATCCTCCCAACTAAAGCTCATGCATTTAAGCCTCCATCATCCAGAATCAACATCAGGTTTTCAGGCTAATTACGGCAAAGAATAAAAAAGCCACAGGGAGGGGTTTGAGGGAGTTACACTGATCTATCTTAAAGCCACAATATGGAAGAATTCAGGTTACATATAAAATGACTAATTTAAGGATTGAATCAGTTTCACACATTGGTGAAACAAGAGGTCACTTTAACACTGGGTGCCCATGTATCTTTTGTGGGCCAAAGATATCCATTAATCCTTGTAGGATCCGTTCTGTGTATTTAACTTTGATATAGTTGAGTTTATTAGTACCTCCCCTTTATCCATTGCCAATGGGAAGAAGAAATAGGATTTTGGGGAAAATACTTTAATTCCAGAGGCTTTTGATTCAACATTACTACATAAGCAAAAAAGCAGAATTTAGCATTATTGCAGATTAGTTATATTTGTTTTCCAGAAAATTGAATATCGGTGCCTTTTTAGATGACAATGTTTGAGAACTCAACATATGCTATAATGGCCTTCGAATTTTCTTGTAATCCACTCGGCTTGGGGAGAATATATTGTCTCTTTTGTGACCTCATATGGCTCAAGGTGTTAAATTTGATGTGTCTATAATCAGGGTGTCCAACCTTTTGGCATCTCTGAGCCACACGGGAAGAAGAGTTGTCTTGGGCCACACATTAAATACACAAACAGTAATGAAAACTGATGGGCAGAGAAAAGGTTTTAAGTAAATGTACAATTTGTGTTCAGCCACATTCACAGGTGTCCTGGGCTGCATGTGGCCTGTGGGCCGCGGGTTGGACACCCCTGCTCCATCTTTGTCTGTCTCCAGAATTTCACTTGGTTAAGCAGAATTTTCTGAATGGCCAGGAGACCATTCCAAATTCATAATGCTAGTATAAGTTGGAAAACAATCAGTCTTTAACCCTAATTTTTATTTTTACCAAGGAAAAAGCCTATCCTTCCCTCCCAACCCAAGTATGAAACAGAGGGACAGTGTGTATGGTATGATCTCATTTATTTTTAAAAAATACTCTCATGTTTCTAGACGCATGAAGAATTGCTGTGATTTTACTTATATGTGGAATTTGAAGAACAATATAAATGAACAAACAAAGCAGAAACAGACTCAAACACAGAGAGCAGACTGATGGTTGCCAGAGGGGGAGGGGCCAGAGGACTAGATGAGGAAGGTGAAGGGACTGAGAAGTTCAGATTGGTAGTCACAAAACAGCCACAGGGATGTAAGGTACAGCACAGGGATACAGTCAATAATGTTGTGATTACTAGTGTGGTGCCAGGGGGCACTGGAAATATCAGGGAGGTCACTGTAAAATACATGATTGTCTCACCACTATGCTGTACGCCTGAAACTAATGCACAGTGATACTGAAGGTAAACTGCAGCTGAAAAAACAAACTTCCTGGAAGAGCATACAATAAAATGTTAATAGTGGTAACTCTGAAGTAGGATGGGATGGCATTCTTTCTGCTTTCTCCCTTTTCTCTATGGTATTTTGTTTTTCAAGTGCCAATGCTATTTTTATATTTAAAATAAAATACAAGGCTAGTTTACAACATTAAGAGGAGTTACCTCTGGAGGGTGAGATGGGTTATTGTCCTGCTTTTCTGATTTTACGTGTAATAATACTTTTGTAATCAGAAAAGTTTTAAGTATTGTAACACAGTCCAATCACGAGACAGAAACCACACACTAATTTAAATGGGTAAATTTACTATGAAGTTACTAACTGTAACAGGAACTAAGACACCTCTAAACAGATGTAGGAAACTGCTGAAGGCTCTTCACCTTAGCCTGAGACGGAACACCCCAGAAAGGATCCCTGGACACAGGTCTGCTCAGATACAGACCTCCGAACAGAGAGCACTGCCACGGACAGCAGAGAGGTTTGCTGAGGCTGCGGAAGTGCAGCCCTGGAGGTGTCAGAAGAAGCCACTCATGTCTGGGAGCTGTGTGACACTGTCCGGGAGAGACTAACCAGGAAAAGAAGTCCCTTAATCCTCTTGCGCTCACCAGCACCCTCTACTGACAAGCTTTACCACTGTGCTTGCTGACGGGAGAGGTGCTTACTGGGTCCAGCTCTTTTATTGCAGAATGAATAGGCAATGACAGCTCGATTTAGACATGAGAAGAAATAACTTGATACTTGATACAAGTACTACTTACTAAATAGTTCATACATAAACAGAAAGAACTAGTTAATTATCAAGATTGTAGGATATTGCCATGTGTATGTTTGTATATTCCCTGAAAACATCTTAAATAATATCCAAGAAACTGGTTGGTAATGGTGACCGACCTCAGGGAGGGGACTAGGGTAGCTAGAGGACAGCAGTGAGAGGAAGGTTTACTTTTTTCATCCTGCATATTCTTTTTTATAATCTGAATTCTGTACCATGTACATGTACTATTAAAAATACTTACAATATCATTCCCTGACTGGTGTGGCTCCATGGATTGAGTGCCAGCCTGCAAACCAAAAGCTCACCAGTTCAATTCCCAGTCAGGGCACATGACATTGTAAGTATTTACAATGTCCTGGGTTAAGGGGCCAGGTCCCCAGTTGGGGACACTTGAGAGGCAACCACACATTCATGTTTCTCTCCCTCTCTTTCTCCCTCCCTTCCACTCTCTCTAAAAATAAATAAAATCTTTTTAAAAAGAAATACTTTAAAAAATCAAGACTTCCCTCCTCACTCATCGAGAGCTCTGCTTCCTTTACTGCTTCTCCTCGTATCTGGTCTCTGAACACTGGGAGTACCTGGGTTCTTCTCCGACATCTCTATTTAAATGCATTTCCTTGGCTGCCTAATCCTAAATTCAGTATCTGTGCTAACTTCTAAATTTTCATCTCCAGCCTAGATCTCTCCTTTGGACTCTTTACTCATATCCAGCTCCTATTAAGGGCACCTCACATTTCTCATGTCCAACCCCTATCTTTCCTTCCTACCAAAATACTCTTTACTCAGACCTCTCCATCTCATTAAATTCCAGCTTTATCATTCCGCTTGCTTAGGTCAACAGTCTTGAGTTACCCTGACTCCTCTCTTTCATTCTTCACATGTAACCTATTGGCAAATCCTGAGCTCCACTTGCAAAATACACTCTGATCCCTCCACTGCTATTGACTAATTCTAACTAGTTGGCCTGCTTCTTCCCTTGACACTTATGATGTATTTTGGTGGTTTTTTTTTCAATCCCCATTTGAGGATTTATTATTTTTTAAAATTGATTTTAGAGAAAGAGGAAGGGAGAGAGAGAAAGCTACAGACCCAGAGAAACAGAAACACTGATGTGAGAAACACTGGTCCGTTGCCTGCCAATATGTGCCTGGACAGGGCATTAAACAGGCAACATTTTGGTGTTTGGGACAACGCTCCAACCAGCTGAGCCACCTGGTCACGGCTGACCTATTTTTTTAATTTTAATTTTTTAAAATTAGATATTATTGATTATGCTATTACAGGTGTCCTGATTTTTCCTCCTTCGCCCCCCAGCATCTCCAACACCCTCAGGCAATCTCCCCACTATTGTTCATGTCCAAGGGTCAGGTGTGTAAGTTCTTTGGTTACTCCGTTTCCTATGCTGTACTTTACATCCCCGTGGCTATTCTGTAACTACCTATTTGTACTTCTTAATCCCCTCACCACTCCAACCTTCCCCCCATGCCCCCCCCCCAATCTGGCAACCGTTCTTTATATCCATAATTCTGTCTCATTAGCTTAGTTTGTTTTTTAGATCAATTGTTGATGCATTTGTATTTTTTGCCATTTTATTGTTCCTAGTTTTGATCTTCTTTTTCTTTTTTTTAAAGATTTTATTTATCTTTTTTTGCAGTTTCCTTTTTTCTTTTTTTAAAATTTTTATTTAGTTATTTTCCAAGTACAGTTTTCTGTTTATTTCTCCCATCCCAGCCCACCCCGCCCCATGCACCCCACCTCCCTCCCATTTCCACCCCCCTTAGTTTTTGTCCATGTGTCCTTTATACTTGTTTCTTTAAATCCCTCCCATTTTTCCCCTTAAATTCCCTCCCCCTCCCCTCTGCTCGCTGTCCCCTTGTTCTCTATTTCAGTGTCTTTGTTTTTATTTTGCTTGCTTGTCTGTTTTGTTGTTTAGCTTCCTGTTAAAGTTGAGATCATATGGTATTTGTCTTTCAACACCTGGCCTATTTCACTCAGCATAATGCTTTCCAGTTCCATCCATGTTGTTGCAAAGGGTAGTAGCTCCTTCTTTCTCTCTGCTGCATAGAATTCCATTGTGTATATGTACCACAATTTTTTGATCCATTCATTTACTGTCAGGCACCTAGGTTGCTTCCAGCTCTTGGCTATTGTGAATTGTGCTGCTATGAACATTGCGGTGCATAGGTTCTTTGAAATTGATGTTTTGGGGTTCATAGGATATAATCCTAGCAGTGGAATTGCTGGGTCAAAAGGCAGGTCAATTTTTATTTTTCTGAGAAAATTCCATACTGTTTTTCATAATGGTCGTACCAGTCTGCACTCCCACCAACAGTGAACTAAGGTCCCCTTTTCCCCACAACCTCTCCAACATTTGTTGTTGGTTGCTTTGTTTATGATAGCCATTCTGACTGGTGTAAAGTGGTATCTCATTATGGTTTTAATTTGCATCTCTCTGATAGCTAGAGATATTGAGCATCTCTTCACATGTCTCTGGATCTTCTGTATGTCCTCCTTGGAGAAGTGTCTGTTCAAGTCCTTTCCCCATTTTTTAATTGAGTTGGTTGTCTTCTTAGAGTGGAGTCGTGTAAGTTCTTTGTATATTCTGGAGATTAAACCTTGGTCTGAGGTATCATTGGCAAATATGTTTTTATTTATTTATCTTTAGAGGGGAAGGGAAGGAGAGAGGGAAATATCAATGTATGGTTGCCTCTTGTGTGTCCCCTGCTGGGAACTGGCCTGCAACCCAGGCATGTGCCCCAACTGGGAATTGAACCACGATCCTTTGGTTTGCAGGCCCATGCGCAATCCACTGAGCTACATCAGCCAGGACTGATCTTCTTTTTCCTTTTTTTAATATTTTATTTATTTATTTTTTTTGAGAAAGGGGAAGGGAAGGAGAAAGAGTGGGAGAGAAATATCAATGTATGGTTGCCTCTCATGTGCTCCCTGCTGGGAACTGGCCTGCAACCCAGGCATGTGCCCTGACTGGGAATCGAACCGCGATACTCTGGTTCACAGGCCCGCGCTCAATCCACTGAGCTACGCCAGCCAGGGCTTTCTTTTTCTTAAATAAGTCCCTTTGCCATTTCATATAATAATGGCTTGGTGATGGTGAACTCCTTTAGTTTTTTTTTTTTTTGTCTGAAGCTCTTTATCGGCCTTTTGATTCTAACTGATAGCTTTGCTCAGTAGAATAATCTTGGCTGTAGGTCCCTGCTTTTCATCACTTTGCATATTTCTTGCCAATCCCTTCTAGCCTGCAAAATTTCTTTTGAGAAGTCAGCTGACAGTCTTATGGGAAGTCCCCTGTAGATAACTAGCTTCTTTTCTTTTCTTTTTAAAAAAGATTTTATTTTATTTCTAGAAAGAGGGAAAGGGAAGGAAGAAGAGAGGGAGAGAAACATCAATGTCTTGCCTCTCATGTATCTCCTCCCCCTGGGAACCTGGCCCACAACCCAGGCATGTGCCCTGACTGGGAATTGAATCAGTGACCCTCTGGATTGCAGCCCACGTTCAATCCACTGAGCCATACTAGCCAGGGCTAACATCTTTTCTCTTGCTACTTTTAAGTTAGATTTTCTCTTTATCTTTTAACCTTTGGCATTTTGATTATGATATCTCCTAGAGTGGGCCTCTTTGCACACATCTTGTTTGGGACTCTGTGCTTGGAAGTAGACTTGCATGTCTATTTCATTCACCAAAATAGGGAAGTTTTCTTTCACTACCTTTCCAAATAGATTTCTTGCTCTTTCTCTTCTCCGTCACCCCTATGATGTGAATGTTGGACGTCTTGACGTTGTCCCAGAGGCTGCTTATACTATCTTCATTTTTTTCGCATTTTTTCTTCTTGTTGTTCTGATTGGTTGTTTTATGGTTCCTTATGTTCCAAATCATTGATCTGATTCTGAGGTTCATTCACTCTACTGTTGTTTCCCTGTAAATTGTTAGTGTATCTTTTGTTTCTGACTGGATCTTTTTTATGCCATTGAGCTCCTTACTAAGTTCCTTGAGCATCCTGATAACCAGTGTTTTGAACTCTGCACACTGATAGCTTACCTCCATTTTGTTTAGTTCTTTTTCTGGGGTTTTGATCTGTTCTTTCATTTGGGATATATATATATATATATATATATATATATATATATATATATATATATATTTTTTTTTTTTGGTCTCAGCGTGCCTGTTATGTAGTAAGGGGCGGAGACTTGGGTGTTCTCCAGGGCGGGGCAACCCACGTGGCTGTGTTGTGATGCTGTATGTGAGGGAGTGGTTAGAGAGGGGAGTAGGCCGCTTGTTGAGGTCTCTGCCAGCTTTCAGTCACTTCCCCTGCTTCCCACAAGCAAATTGGACCCTTCTGGTGCTGATTCCCCGGGTGAGTGAGTTTGTGTTCATTTTAGGACCCTGTGGGTCTCTCCAATGAACCCTCCTGTGAGATTGGGAGTTTCTCCCGCTGCTGCCTCAACCCCCACAGGTGTTTTAAATCAGTGGTTTTTGAGGCTTTATTTTCCCGTCGCTGGAACATTGTGTTGCTTGATCTACCACGCTCCCCAGTTGTTCCTCTAGGTAAATCTGCACATTAATGTGGATCACCCAACCTGGTCCTCCAGCTGCCACCGCTGCCTTGCTGCAAATCCTGTCCACCCTGGCTGCCTGTCTCTCCTCTCCTACTGGTCTGGATGAATGTTTCTTCTTCAACTCCTTGGTCGTTGGGCTTCCATACAGTTTGATTTTCTGTCGGTTCTGGTTGTTGTTGTTGTTGGTTTTAACTTGTTGTTGTCCTTTTCGTTGTGTGAGGAGGCACAGTATGTTTACCTATGCTTCCATCTTGGCTGGAAGTCTGACCCCATGTCTTGACAATATAGCCTAATGTAGTAAGTATTCTGTAGGGTCCAGTGGCATAACCTCCTCTATCACCCAAACTGGGTACTCGAGGTGTGCCCTTCGCGTGGGCTGAGTACACCCTCCTCTTGTAGTTGAGCCTTGGTTACTGTTGGCAGATCAGTGCAGGGGGATTTACCCAGGTCAGTCAGCTTCAAGGAGTAGCTGTGACCACTGACCCCCAACCTCTGCCCTCTGTGAAGGATCAGCTGTGTGGGGGTAGGGTGGTGGTGCTCCAACATGGTCTATAGCTGTCCACTGGGTGCACAAGTTCTCAGGTCCCCTGGGTGGTGCTGGCCAAGTTCAGCCCCCATCTTTTTTTCCTGGGGTCACCCTGCCTAAGCTGTAAAGCAAACTAAGATGGCTGTTACTCGTGCTGGGCTTGGGGATTCCCAGGTAAAGCCAAGCTCTGAGTCTAAGCTGGCTGCTGCTAATGAGCTGGGGCTCACTGAGGCCAGCTGTTGCTTGTTTGATAGGATTTAGTAAGTTGTGAAGCATGAGCCACACCAGCCATTCATATGAAAAAGCAATTTGGATGGGCCCATAAGTTGGGTGAGATGGAGTCTCTGGGGATCTTCAAAGCAGGTCAAACAGTGTTAGCCAGGCTGATGGAGTCTCAAATATGGAACCAGCTTGCCAGCTCTGTTGGAGGAGGGTTTAGAAGAGGGATAATGGCCTCTGCTCATCTTGATGCCAGACACTTCAGTCCTTCCCTATATTCCACTAGTGCCTTTCAAGCTGCTTGCTACCTGGTGCTGGAGCTCGGGGGAGTGATTATGAGCAGGTGAGTCTGTGTGTGGGTTCTTTAAGAGGAACTGCTTGAGGGTCCAGTGGTTTCTTCCACCAACTCAATCCCTATGGTTTTTGCAGCCATTAGTTTTGGGGACTTATCTTCCTGGCACTGGAACCCTGGGCTGGGTGGCATGGTGTGGGCTGGGACTCCTCGAGCTATCCCTCCCCAATTTTTATCCACCACACGTGAGTGTGGGATGAGCCCATTCTGCATCTGTACCCCTCCTACCAGTATGGATGGATGAATGGATGTGGTTTCTTTAATTTTGCAGTTGTCATCCATTCAACTTGATTTCTGATAGCTCTAAGTGATAGTTGTTTTATATTTCAGTTGTAATTTCGATGTGGTTGTAAGAGTCAAGCCATGTCTGGCTACAATGCCATCCTGACAGGAAGTGCAGGCTGACCTATTTTCAAAGCAGCAGCCAGAAGTCTCCTTTCTTTTTCTTTTTTAAAGATTTCATTTATTTATCTTTAGAGGGGAAGGAGAGAGAGAGGGAAATATCAATGTATGGTTGCCTTTTGTGAATCCCTTGCTGGGAACTGGCCTGCAACCCAGGCATATGCCCTGACTAGGAATTGAACCGCACTCCTTTGGTTCACTGGTGGTGAACCAAAAGGATTCACCACCAGTTCACTGGCCCTCGCTCAATTCACTGAGCTACACCAGCCAGGACACAGAAGCCTCTTTTTATAAATCAAATCATGCTACACCTTTGGTTCAAAACCTCTCAATGAATTCCCAACTCAGAGTAAATGCTGAAGAGCTTACAATGACCTACAAATGACCTGACCCTGGCTACCTGTCTTACCTCCATCTCTTTTAATCTCTTCTCTGTTCACTTCCACTCGGCCACACTGGTTTCTTTGCTCATCTTAAAGCCTTTGCACTCATCATTTTCTTTGCCTGGGAGGTTCTTCCTCTACATATGTGAGTAGCTCTCATTTCCTTTAGATCCCTGTTCAAATGTCACCTCAATGAGCCTCAATGAGCAGTTTCCTAACCTTTTAGAAAAGCATCCCCACTTCCAATCTCACTCTGCCTAACCCTGTTCCCTGCTTCACTTTTTACAGCATGGATCATTATCTGCACCTTACACAGTGCACTTGCTCACTACTAGCTGTTTCCCACCACTATAAGCAGGAATTTTCATGTCTTGTTCACTGCTGTCTTCCAAGAAACTAGAATAGTGCTTAGCACACAAAGTTAAATAAGATTTGCTAAAGTGAGTAACTTCCTCAACCTGTAACCATTCTCCAACTGTATTAGATATTAAGGCAAGTAACATCCAAAAATATCTTAGGAAGCAAGCTGTCCTTATAACTAAATTTAACCCAGCTTATATTTAGGCACTGAAAATATGCTAAATGTATAAAATGTTGGCTGATTGTCATAAAAAATGGTACAACAAGACTTAACCTGCACTAGGAAGCTTAAGCTATAGAACCCATTCTGCAAAACTTACCACATATCGAATATTCACTTATTCTATAACTACGTACTGGGCAGTTACTGACAATGTTAGACGTACTTGGTTTTCCCACATAAAATCTCTGAAAGAGAAGGCATTTACCGTATTAGCCTCTTCTCCCACAGCTAAATGGACTAAAAGAATCCCAGGTGCCATGGACACCAAACCTTAGACTAAACTGAAACAGTATGATCTCCAGCCTTTCCTGAGAATTTGCACTGAGAACCCAGATCCAGTCAAATGGACAGATGGAACTACCAGGTAGTGATGAAGACAGCATGGCTTGGCCAACCTGTTAGGCAGTATGCATGATGAGCACATGGAGGGGGCCAGGAGGGAGATGCTGACAGGCAAGAGAAGGTGCAGGGAGGCGAACGACAATGTGCCCTTCAAGAAACAAGAGCCTTGGTTCCTGCTGGCCAGGTCCAGTTCTTGTGACACTCGGCTTTAGCTAGGCCTTGTTTAACCATGAATTTTTAGCAATATTGTTTTACAGTTGGTTCTACCTTTATAATACTACCCCTTTACCTGGGGTAGTTTTCTTTCTACAAACTCTACGTCACCATATGTATTCCAAAGAAAAACATTCAGATAGTCAAGATTAAAAAAATTGATCATTTATTTTTTAAAGGCATTAATAAAAAGCTTAACATACTAAGAAAGTTACAATATACAAATGTGTGAACAGACTGACTTTTCTGTATTACATGTGCTTTGAGTTTCTTTTAATTACTCACATTTCCATTGTTCAGTTATTCAAACTGGTTATTCCCTAGAAACACCTAGCTGATTATTCAAGAATGAGTTACATACTCCAAGGGCAAATGCAGATGACCGTGCCACTCAGCCAAGTGGTCATGAAGAAAATGATGGAAAACCAGTCACATCCACCAGGGCACATCAAAATACTCTTTTCTCCTTGGGAGAGAGCTGCACCTTAATTTGAAAGGAAGAAAGTCTTGATATAATTATGAAATTTAAAAGCCTATTTTCTTATAAAAACCATAAAGAGAATAAAAATCTGGTAAAATACTTAAGTAACGCTAACTTCAATCTTTATAGAATAGTTACATAGACAAATTGTGAAATTCATTTGGAAGAGTGAACAGGCAAGAATATTTTTTTAAAGGTTTAAGGAACACTGGTATTTGATCTGTCTTTTTTACAAAACAATGATCAAAATCCTTTTAAAAACAATAGTGATTACAACAATACAAACAACATTCTCCAACTATACAATAAAACTAGAAATTTTTCCTAAATACCTAGAAATCAAAGCATTAAACATTTCTAGAGTTTGAAACAAACTTTTGGAGTATCTGGAAAGTTGTAAAAATTCTACATACTAGAATCTATAGAATATAACTAAAACACTGTTCAGAGGAAAATTTATGGTCTTAAAATAGCCACTTTAATAAATAATTGATAAGGAATTTAAAAAACGTATTTAAAAAGTAGAGAGAAATTAATCCTTGGGATATCATCCGGGTCCCTTCAACCCAATTTTAGATTCTGATACAATGGGGGTATCGTATCCTATTGTGGCACTTAGTAGAGATTTAATACAATCTCTACTAAGAGTAATTTAACAAAAATCTATTGAAATTATAAATGCATATCCTTTTTAATTCAGCAATTCTAACTCCAGACTGAAATTCTAGATTCTATTTCCATTTATTTAGATTATCTTGCAGATGTATCTGTTTATCTACAAAAAGCATTAGGCAAAAGAATCATGAGTGAAGAATTAAATAGCAAACAAATGCAAAAAGCCTAAACTTCTGTCCATAAGAGCTTAATTAAATATGATATACATCAATATATAAGAATATCCTGCAGCTGTTTAAAAAATAAGAGCTTAATATGCTGATATGGATCTCAATATAAACATGAAATATTAAGGAAAAAGCACTGACCTGTTCAAGAATATCGTATGAATTACCTATAAAAACAAAAAATTAAAAGTTTAAAAGAACAATGATACATCTTTCCTGATTTATTTTAATTACATATTATTTTTTAATTGTCAATAAATGTACACAGCACAAAATAGAAAAAATACAAAAGGGTATTCTGTGAAGTCTCCCACCCATGGCTTTGCTTTCTGGTCCCTCTTCAGAGGAATCTCGACTATCACTTTGAGATGATAAAGCAGATACATGTATGTAAATATATTATATGCACACAGGTAGCAGGCAGCATAAGAGAGTTCTGTGTCTTATTTTCATTTAAATGTATCTTCCTGTCAGACTGCTATACAATACAAGCAACAATGTAGTTAAAAACAAAAGAATAAAGGAATAAACTGAGTATCAATTCAAATTTTAAAACTTTTATTTTATAAAAAATAACAATGAAAAAATTCTTAAACAAGTAGATACTCTAACAATTAGATAAGTATGAAGAATAAGGGCATTATGAAGTAGTTGATTATTTTGGTAAAACAATATGACTACATTGAAGATCTACAGAATTATTTAGAATTTGAAGTCCAATATACAAAATCAATGATCAATACAGAAAAATAATTCTGTGGGACTGTGTTAAACAAAAAAGCCAAAAACAGATTACTGCCATCCAGAAATATGTATCATTAACAACCCCAAATTTAACATATTAATCTTACATACTTGAGAAGGAAGGATAGAGTGTCATAACCACCACAATACAGTAGACCAGCTACTTCCAACTGGTGCGCCGCAAGAATTTTTAAAACATTCAGTACCTGACTACTGAGTCAGGGGCACTGGCCTCTTTCCCCTTGGACTGTCAAATAAAAAACCGACAACTACCAACAGAACAATATGCATTTGGTGTAAAAGAATCAAAATCAGATCTATGTTCTGTCAGATCAGCAAAAAGTGTATTTTTGGTGTGCCACAGAGTTTTAGTAATTAGTTTAATTAGATGAAAAAGGCTGAAAACTTGCTGCAATGAATTAATCTTTCAGAAAACATGCAACTGAAAATTAATTGTCCCAAAACGGGAAGGGTGGTGCAATGAATTGTTTCGCACCACACATCCATGAAGAAAATGATAAAAACACTTGTTAAAAAACAGGGAGAACAGCTGGTAGTGTACTTGTTTTCCTGACTCAGTTCATAAAATGGGGCACAACATATGGGGGGGGCAAAAATGGGCTTGCAGTTGTGAGTACACGAAACAAGGTTTGTCCTTGTATTACTACTTGTTAATTATTGTAGTATTTCTTGTCTGAGCAACTATAAACTCACTTTTGCCCCACCCTGAATGATATAACTGTTTTCAGGTACTAGGCAACAGAGCACAAGGGTAAGATCCTTGAAAAAGGGAAACACGTGAGCTTCACTCTCATCCCTTTTTGGCGAGACACAATTTTCACACTGCAGCACGAGGGGGACTCTGAGCGAAGAGTATTGTCCTTTCCGGGTGGAATCAACAGACTGTAGTTTGGGCCTTGCAAGAGGCAGCTGGACTTTGAGGAGGCAAGGCCAAAGAGGAGCAATTTGAAGAGAAGGATCTCCAGCAATCTGTGTAGGGCTTCCATTTAGGTCCTTGTCCAAACCCTAAATTACTCGTATGTAGGACAAAAGTCCACAAAGCCTGGAAGAAGCAGTTCCTGGGGTTGGGGTGAGGTGGGCTGCTGAGAGCTGATGAGAGGTTCTGGGTGGTTCGTACAGAGTTCAGCCATTTACTGTGTGGCCCAAAGCAAGTCATTTTACTTCCATGAGCCTTTCTCATTTGTCAAATAGGAAGAATTACAGTATCTAATTCAGTGGTGCTATAAAGATTAAATGAAGTAACTACACCTAGCACACTGGAGTAGTCACTCAAAAAAAAACCCCAAAAACTGTTCTTAAAGGGAAGAAAAATTTCACATGGCAATTTCTAGTTTCCTTTACAATAAAAATGTAAACTAACAGTTACCTAAGAGTCTACTGAAACCAACATTTATAAATTTTTTTTTTTACTCTTAACCGTAAGTCTTTATGTAAACCCCAAAACTCATTGATGCTCTGTACACTGCTTAGCCTGACTTCTGCCTGGAAACCAAGGCTTTATTTAAAGTGGAATATAGCTCAGCTCACACTCATACACCATTTTAAAATGTAAAAGGTAAATTTATGTGTCGCAATCAAAATTAAAAAATCAGATTTTCAAACCTCAAAAACTAGTTTCTACAAAAGCTATCCCAAATATACTACTTGACATATTCAAGATGTTACATAAATTCCCTTACAATTAACTTTTAAAACCATTCACCTACTTGTAGGATTTGTTTATAGGAAAGTCTTCTTTAAAACTAGCAAGAAGTTGAACTGATGCCTAACCTTTCATGGTGGGTGACAGATCTGATCTGAAAACACCTCTTCCCATTTACCGTTTTCCTGCTTCTTTGACATTCCCTCCATTCTATGCTGTAAGCAAGAAACTGTGCCAGACACTGCAAACCTGCAGAATGAGATTGCAGACATCTGTCTGCCTCTGATGACAGAGGACAGACAGATGAAAGCTAAGTGGCATTGGGAACAGTAATATGACATTTGAGCTACCTTGGGCCTCAAAATATACGATGCCTCTGGCTTTGTATATTCTCCGCCTAGATTTTAATCCACTTCACCTCCTGCCTAATTTTCCTACTCACCTTTTCAGACTTGCCGAAGTCTGAATAACCTAGCTGAAGAATTTCAACTGAATGAAAAAGACTTTAATTAAAGAATGAAATGCTGGCAATTATACTTTCAAATGTGATTTATGTCATTAAAAAAAATGCCCTCCCAGAAATGCATCTCCCATTTTGAAAAAAATATGTATATTTTAAAAAATATATTAATATATATTTTAAATATATAAAAATATATTTAAATATAATATATATAAACATATATTTTAATATATGTATTTAAAATATATATATATTTTTAAATATGCTTTTCAAGCCCTGACTGGTGTGGCTCACTGGGTTGGGTTGTCCCACAAATCCAAAAGTTGCCAATTCAGTGCCCAGTCAGGACACATGCCTGGGTTTCAGGCCAGGTCCCCAGTTGGGGGAATGTGGGAGGCAACTGGTTGATGTTTCTCTCCCTCTCTGTCTCCCTCCCTTCCCCTCTCTCTAAAAAACATTTTTTTTTATTTTCATGGAAACATCTACCCAAAACCATAATATCCATATATTTTTTTCCAAACACTCACAACACAGTTTACTTTAAGGTTGACAGAATAGAATTGAATGACTACATATAAGGAGGTATTTTCTATAACGTTGCCCAGAATGCCAAATGCTACTGAACTAAAGGAATAATGGCATAACATGTCGACAATCTGACGAAAAGAGTAAGTAAAAGCATTAAAAATGTGATGTTAAGTGGGGACACACACACACATACATGATGGCATTCATATAGTCGTGCAGATGAATAGGGACCAAAAGTGTAAACATATAGAAAAGGGATATAATGATAGACATATAGCTTTTACTAATTCAATTTAAAAATATTGAGCATTTTTATTATGTATTTTTCATATATACAGAAAATATTAAAAACAGTGCAATAAACACACCCATCACTTAGATTCAACAGCCATATATACTTGGTGCACTGTTCTATAAACAGAAAGGTCACAGGTTGGGTTCCTGGTCAGCGCACAGGCCTAGGTTGCAGGTTTGGCCCCAGTCAGAGCACATACAAGAGGCAACCAGTCGATATTTCTCACTCACATTGATGTTTCTCTCTCCCTCTCTTCCTCCCTTCCCCCTGTCTAAACTTAATAAGCATGTCCTTGTGGGAAGATTAACTATTTATAAAGAAACATTATAACACTTCACTTGTAAATACTCTAGTATGCAAATTTAAAAAGGTATTCTTCTATAAACTGTAATACCCTTATCACAGCTCATAACATTAGCCATAATTATCTAATATAATTTAAAATCCAGTCCATATTCAAATTTCCTCAATCCCCACATCTTTTCAAACCAGGGTCCAATCAAATGTGCCACACTGTATTTGGCTGTCTTTCAAGTCACTTTTAAACTAAAATAGTAACCCATTCCATGCCATTTTTTCTTCCACGACAATGACTTTTTACAGAAATGCCAGTTCCCTTCTACAACATTCCACACTGCGGAGCTGTCTGATCATTGTGTGTGTGTGTGTGGTATCATTTAATTTGCTGCTCTGTCCCCAGTACTTCTGGTACATGGGGAAGTCCATCTTAAAGGCCTGATTAAATTTTAGCTACACTTTTTGACCAGAGCACTTCATGGGCAACGGTGCATTCCATACCGCCTCCCCAGTCAAAAGGCACGTCTGGCTGGCTGACCACAGTGATGCAGTTTCGTTACTGACTCTAAGGATCTCTTGGTTGAAAAGTACGGTATGTTTTTCTTTCCACACCACCACCAAGTATTTGGTGAAATGATACCTGGATAACCTGAGAATTCCAGAGGGAATATATATATATACATACATATATATATATATATATATATATATATATATATACACACACACACACACCTTTTATCAAATAGTTTTGGCATCAAAATGTCTTTAATACTGTTTTATATTAACTTTTCTACTTTTTAACATTTCATTTTTTTAAATGTTTTCCACAAACTATAAAATTTACACAAAAGATTCACTTCTATAATGATGGCGCACTTACTCCTTAATTAAAATGCGAGCATCTTCCTTCTTTTTGATTTTGTTTGAAACCCTATAAGGAAAATAAAAAAAAATTAAAAGAACAGCATACAGATTGTATACAGATGTACATAAACATTTTGTTTCACATGAGATATTTTACTCATTCTACTTGACAAAATAAATGTCATTGGGAAATAAGTTTATAGCCCTCCAAGGTGCTTTAAAAGTGATCCCAAAGTATATATTGAGGCTATAATTAAGAAATTTTCTTCTTTCACTTATGCTGATCTCAGTCCAATGATGTTCAAGAGCATACTCACATACCTATTTTCATCAAAATATCTAATGGTTACCTTGGCCGGTGTGGTTCAGTGGATTGAGTGCTGGCCTGAGAGCCAAAGGGTCATCAGTTCAATTCCCAGTCGGGGCACATACATGGGTTGGGGCCAGGTCCCCAGTAGGGGGCACACGAGAGGCAACCACACACTGATATTTCTCTCCCTCTCTTCCTCCCTCCCTTCCCCTCTGTCTAAAAATAAATAAACAAAATCTTTTAAAAAATCTAACTGTCATGCTCATTTATTAAGATAAGACCAGTAAAAACTAGTACTACTAAACAAAAACACTTTAGAAGTTAAAAAAAATCAATAAATATTTGTTGTTCTGGTCAGACCTAGCCCAAACATCCTGGCCTCAATGTTTTCTATATGTATAACACCTCTCAATTTCACTACTCATCTATACCTTATAGGTCATAAGACATATTAATAGCAATTTGTTACTAATGAGCATCAAAGTTATAACCAATTTATGTTATTCCCTTAACATTATTCTTAGTCATTTGCATTCTTTTGGGATGTCTACCAAGAGAAAAGGCAGAAGTAAAGAGGTGAACCCAAATCCCTTCTGGCTGTTCCTATGGGAACAGGCAGCAAACTGCCCATCACAGGTGCCTCTGTGGAGCAATGGTTAGGAATTGTTAGCTGAGGACAACGCTGTCTGACAAGTATGTTGTTGGAAAACATGACAATGAGTAGTTGCTGCTTTTTAGTGGTAAAATTTTTGAAGAGACAAAAAAAATACAAAAACTAGGAAACTGTGATTTCTTCATATTTCTGAATATAAGCATATGTTTTTATTTTAATTAATTTAGATATGCAAATAATATTCCTAAAAGTAAAGATCACTTCTCTGGAACTAGTTACTCATACGTTAGCTCTGAATTTCTGGCGAATTATGCTGGACAAGACAGCTTTCCCCAAACTGGTGCACGGACACGTGAATGACACGGAAACACCTGCATTTTGTTTATGGGGACCACGGTTAAAGGCCACTGAAAATCTGCTAGGTTTTAAAAACATAGTGCAATCAAATACATGAAGTAAGAATGTTTATAAATACAATTTAGCACTAGCTGGTGTGGCTCAGTGGATTGAGTGCTGGCCTGAGAGCCAAAGGGTCACCAGTTCAATTCCCAGTCAGGGCGCATGCCTGGGTTGGGGCCAGTTCCCAGCTGGGGACGCACGAGAGGCAACCATACATTGATATTTCTCTCCCTCTCTCCTTCCCTTCCCCTCTAAAGATAAATAAATAAAATCTTTAAAAAAATAAATAAAATAAATAAAATTATAGTTATAAAAAAATATAATTTAGTTAACTCTAATTTTCATTTATTTCACCCTGCAAGTCAAATATATTCTAATACCGCAGTACAATACATTCATTTTTTTTATTTATCTTTAGAGGGGAAGGGAAGGAGAGAGGGAGAGAAACATCAATGTGTGGTTGCCTTTCGTGTGTCCCCTGCTGGGAACTGGCCTGCAACCCAAGCATGTGCCCTGACTGGGAATCGAACCGAGACTGTCTGGTTCGCAGGCCCGCACTCAATCCACCAAGCCACACCAGCCAGGGCTTACACTCATATTTTTAAACTGCTGCTAGAGCTAGCAAAGTGGAAAACAGTTAAGATCCACATGTACTTAAGGCTGCAGTAAAACTGACAAACAAAACCATGAGCCTATACAGAATATGAACCTGAAAAAAAGTTAAAAAGGAAAATACCCCCAAAATATAGTGAATCTGGGTAACAGTGCTATGGATGGCACTTGACTCTTTTTCTCTGTCTAAAAAATTTGAAAATAAACATAAATTCTGTCAAAACTTTATATAAATTATACATATTTACAAAATATTTCATAGTTAAAAAGTATGCAGAGAAATCTGAAGTGCCAAAGAAGAAAGCTTAGATAGTTAGATAACAGGTCTTGAAACAAATAAACTGTTACTTTGTCACTTTTCATTGTCTTTCTGGTCATTAAAAGGGGTGCTTTGCCCTGGCTGGGTAGTTCAGTTGGTTGAAGCGTCATCCCGTACACCAAAGGGTTGTAGGTTCAAACCTTCGTTGGGGCATGTGCAGGAGGCAGCTGATTTGTCTTTCACATCAATGTTTCTCTCTCTCTAGAATTCAATGAATGTTTATTTATTATCCTCACCTGAGGATATGCTTCACCAATTTTAGAGAAGAAAAGGGAAGGAGAGACAGAAAGAGAGAGGGACATCAATGTGAGACAGAAACGTCGATCCGCCGCCTCCCATACACACCCTGACCAGTGACCAAACCCACAACCTAGGCATGTGCCCTGACTAGGGGGGACTAAACCCCCAACACTCTGGTGTATACGAAAGTGCTCCAACCAACTGAGCCACCTGGCCAGGGCTGAAGAGTAACTTTTAAAAAAGAATATTAATGGGGCCCGGGCTGGGGTGGCTCGTTAGATTGAGTGCCAGCCTATAATCAAAATGATGTAGTAACATGAAGGATTTTTAAATGCACTACAATTACACTTGGTGGGGACAACAGAAGAGTAATATAAGCCTTAAACAAAAAGCTGTACTTTTTAAACTTTAAGGTAGGGGATCCTAAGGTGATCCTCCTTAGGATCCGCTCAACATAACAAATTATTTTTTTAATCACAAACACAACAAAGTCACATAACCACAATGTCGGGAAAAGGTGCTGGGTGATCACTGACCATATAGTAACCGGTGTGGTAGCCACTCATGTACCAAGAGATTAACATGCTTCCCAAAGCATCATCATCGTCAAGAGAATCTGGACATATGGGAGGTGGTGGGGGAATTATCTGGAAATGGAGAAAAATACACTTTAAAATGGGAAGTCTGGAGATGCATTTTATGGAGACAATGCTGGATATTAATTCTATGTTTAAATTCATGTTATCTATTTAAAATTTTTAAATAATCTGACATTTGGGAAAAGCCAAACAGTAACAACAAAAGACCAACAAAATTAAATTGAACAACATTCAAAAGATAATAGGGCACAAAATATGTTTAAATATTTTGCTCTAAGAACTATTTTTTTGTTCCATTATGAAGCCATGGTTGGAAGACAAGCATAAATACTGGGTTGGCCAAAAAGTTCATTTGGTGTTTTCCATAAGGCTCTAGTAGCCCCTAGTGGTCTTTAATGGCATTGGAAACAGTTGTGTTAGACTGTATAGTGACAGCTGTTGTATCAGTGTGCATTTAAAAAAACTTATCAAAACTGGTGAATTTTTGTGTAGCCATTTTAATATTGAAGATAGAAGAAAATATGCAACATTTTAAAAATATTATGCTATATTATTTCAAGAAAGATAAAAACACAACTGAAATGCAAAAATAAAATTTGTGCAGTGTATGGAGAAGGTGCTGTGACTGATCAAACAGTTCAAAAGTGATCTGTAAAGTTTCGTGCTGGAGATGTCTCACTGAATGATGCTCCATGGTCAGCAGACCAGTTGAAGTCGTTAACAATCAAATAACAGTCAACGTTATACCATTTGGGAGTCAGCTAACATACTCAAAATATCCAAATCAACAGTTATTGGTGAAAGTGAAAAATGTGTCTTTTATTTTATGGAAATAACCATATGGACTTTTTGGCCAACCCAACACTTTGATGGTTTTCCTTAAGAAACAAACAAACAAACACCGAAATAGCAATTCAAGTAAAGCACTTGGGTAGAACACCTGCACTGCTCCCTGCCCAACGCAGTTTGCTAAAAAGTGTCTCTGCACCTTGCCTACTGCTGTTATCTGAAAGTCTACCGTTAGCTATCCGGATAGTCTACTGGATCAGAAGCTAACACCCAAGCATACCTGGAAGGAGAAAACATAAGTCCTTATGGGTGGTGTAATTAAATCTTTTCAAATAGGAACTACCTCCCTATAGAGTAAGATACAATTTCTGCCAGGAAGGAAGCAGGTGATACAGGGCTAAGAGCTGGGGCAATAAGAGGAGTAAGTCTGGTAGAGAAGGGTATTAAAAAACCCAAGGTTTAGTTCAAATTTTAACCATTAAAACCTGGCCCTAGGGATGGTTTAAAAAGACATTCCTAATCACCATGTTCTGCTAAACCCCAAACTACGTATGAAAGCACAGTGAACTCGGAATCCCTTTTGCACTCACTGGTGGTCCAGAAGGAAACGGAGGCAGCCAGCACGAGAGGAAGTGCGGTGGAGGTGGAGGTGGAGGAGGTGGAGGTGGTGGTGGGCCATTAAATTTCAGACCTGACTGTAACAAGTATTTCATGGGAAGAATTACCGATTACAATATGAAAACAGGGAAAAAAGACTGAATGTCAAAAAATTAAAATAAAAGGTCAAAAAGATTTAATAGAATTGCATGTACCAAATGCTGAAGTCAAACAGAATCATAAATCTAGATTTTTCTCATTTCCTTTCTATACACATTCAAGGAGAAAAATCAAAGTAAGAAAATATTTTTATTACCCAATTAATCAAGAATGTATTTAGCAAGATATTTCAATCATAAATCACTGTATTCCCCACAATTTCATTACTTAGATTGTATAATCTTGTTATAGACATCCTTTTAGTAGTTGCATATGCTAACTTTGAGCACATAATGTAAAAATTAGTAAACTTTTTACTTAACAAGAGAAATCAGCCCCAAGACCAATGAAGCAATATATGTATATATACAGACACACATACATAAACTAATAGGCTTGATCATTCTAGAAACTAACATAAATCTCAAGAAAGATCTCACAGAAAATCTTAAGGAAAAGTTTTAATAAGTCATGCGTGACATTTCTACCTAAAAAAATGATTTCCTGAATACCATGACCTCCAGGGAAATCACTGCTTCACACGTAACTAGACAGAGCCACGCCTCCCTGGGCTCCGTGACATAACCTAAAGTACAGATCTTTTTAGGTCAGTTTGTTTCTTATAACTAACAGAAGCATAAAGAAAAACAGTATTTACATTTCCTCTATAAAACAACCTGGGAGCCCTTCAAGACTCTACATGTATTAGATGTAAATACTGTATTCACTTGCAATTTCAGTATCTTACACAAGTGACTCGGGGAATTATCAGAATAGTCAGCTGACAAAATATACTTTCTAACTTAAGTTCACTAAATTATTAGTCTAATACCTAATACTCCATAAAAGTAGCTGGAAAAGCTTTTCATTATAAACCATTCTGCATTACTACCACTTCCTTCCCGAAGAATTCTTAAGTGTGTATTTATGCCACCTACGGAAAGCTACAAAAGTTTCATGGGAAAATCTATAATTTCCTTAATGGAAGGTCGGAATATTTGTTGAATGTTTCAATATTATTAACTATTTCCTGGGAAACTTTTCTGTGTAGCAGTTACCTTTCCTGGTCCCAGTCCTGATCGTGGTGTGGGGGGCGGTGGGGGGAGGAAATAGTTCCACGGAGCAGCTTTCGGCTTGAAGTTATTTGGTTTATTTCCAGGAGACCTGGAGGAGTTCTCACTTTCATCTGTTGAAATCTGACTTTCATTTTCATTCTTAAAAAAAAAAACAAACATTTTTTTTATTATATAGGCATCATTAAGGAATATTAATGCCTCAGTGGATCAAACTGACAACTGGCTACACCACATAGTTTCTCATCTAGTCTCTGCTTCCAAGAATTCTATTTTTTGTGTCCTTACCTCCTGAGTATTATGTTCTATATTATTAGCGACTTCAGACGTTGGGGAAAGTAGATCAAACAGATTTTGCTCCTCTCTATTTCCATATCCAGTGTAAACCACAACACAGGTTTCTCTCTTAAAATCAATCGAAGCAATGGTAGCTGGGTAAATGCAGCCGTCTTCTGACCACATGGCAGAACATCTGTCACCAACTTTCCACTAACAAAAACAAACACAGATACATGCACACATTTCTTTTCAAGGTGGTAGATTATTACTTTTGTTGGGCTGGGGTGGGGGAGGGGATGGTGGGGACAGTCTGCAGTTAACCCATCTGGAAGGCAGAATGAAACAGTGAAAAAAACTTGACGCCCAAAATATATAAATGTGAATTCCAATAGAAACACAATATAATCCTATCATATAAATTCTGCCATTTTTATCATCACAGACAGGTTTTCATGAGTCCTACTTTCCTCACCTGTCAAGTGGACATAATATAATCTACCTCGATAACTTGTTATGAAGAATAAAAGGAGGGAAGGTATGAAGTGTCCAGCCCCTCTGGCCTGACATATAGCAAATGCTTAACCAATGTTAGTTCCCTTCCCCCTTGGTAATGAAACTAAAGTGACTAATGAGAGACTGAAATACTTAACTTCCAGATCTATGATTTTAAATAGCAGAAAGGGCTCTAGTCAGAATTTTAAGTTTCTGGGTATTAGTATTTTTAGGATTTTTGAAGGAAAAAAAGGATACGTACTTCTCAGTTTAAAAAGTAAAACACTGCCAATTCAGTTGAAGGCCCTCAGGTGGTCCTCCCGAATAGCACTGCCTTCCCCCTACCTCCCCAGTAAAGGAAACACTGTCCTGAATTTACTGCTTATTAGTCCCAACTTACACTTTTCCTTTTCCTTATACTTTTATTGACAGGAATGTCAATAAACAATAACGATAAAATTTAAGTTTTAGAAATATTAATGTGTCAATGGAAACCACTGTACTAATCATTTAAGTTAAAGATACTTTATACTATTTTATAAACAATAGGAAGAAATTCTCTGAAGTTAAATCTCAATGTTTTAAAATAACCTGCTTCAAGGAAGTCGTAGTATTCTTTTTCTGGTTTTTATTCTTCTTAGCAGGTTTTCTTTTAGGTGTGCCTTTTGGTTTATTTGAAGCTTCAGAAATGTCACCATTCTTTAGAGCATGCTATGAAAATATGAACAGAAACGTACAGGTCACCAAATGATTCAAAGTCACAATATAATTCAGTCATCCTAAGCTGGTCTCAAGGCCCCACCCCCTTAGATAGCCTCTACTTTCTCCTTGCACCTTCCCACACACCACAGAAACTGCTCCCCAAAGCACCACAATAAACCTGCTTATCAGCTCCAAAGGCCCCTTCATGGTGAAGAGGCTCAGGTGAACAGCAGAGGCCCTGAAGACAAAGCCCTGGCTGAGCTCTTAGCAGAAGTCAGCACTAATTTTGTGAGCTGATCCCTCACCCCCCAGGTGAGCCACCCCAGCTGCTGTCATGTGGATGGAGATGGCCTGTAACCAACCATCAGGATTCACAAACAAAATTAATTATTGTTTTTATTTCTTTGGAAAACAAAAAACACCCTTTAATCAAGTCTCCTCACTCTCAGCTGTTCACACGAGGACTCTGTCCATCACCTCCCTTTTTGATATTCATGACAGTCTGGATGACACACCAATGCATGGCCCGTGCTTGTATTACTTCTCTGGTCAAGCCTTAAACTCAGGCATTTCCGACCAAAGCCGCCGCCCTTACTGACCTGATTATGATCACCTATATTGCTATTACTTCAATTACAACCTCTATGCAAACAGACTTCCAAAGCTATTATACAGCTCTGACTTTTCTCTTTAGTTCGAGCCAACATTTACAATGAGCAATTTTATATCTTCACATTTACCTCAAACTCAACACAACTAACAGTAAACAATTTTCCCTCAAATTGGTTCTTTTCCTCTACCCAGACCACTTTCCTCTGCAACATCACTCACACCTTATCCCACACTGGCCCCATTTTCAACGGCATTTTACAGAGCTCTCTGGTTCCCTGCGTTAGTGTGCTTCTAGTCTAACTGTATATGGGAACACACGCTATCGACAAAGTTAGAGTTCCTCGTCACGGATGACACAGGTTTGGCCCTTCCACCTCACGGCACGGGCATGACTACAGGAAGGGAGTGGCCCTGTGCTCGGGGTTCCGTCCGAGTGCACGCTCTGCCTGGACTGCTGCTGGCTCGCACGTGGTGCTCAGTGTGACCAAACACCCCTACCAGTGGGTGAAGGGGTGCTGCCGGGCAGCTGTGTAAATGTCTTGTTTGGGCCATAGAAACAGACTACACCCCCTTCAAGAATTGTTCATTCCTACTACCGGGAACATCTGACTTAATATGCAACTAACTGGACTGGGGCAGATGAAGTTAGTAACAAATGTAAAGCAGTTAGAAGAGTGATTTTAAAGCCTTTACAAGTATTAATCACTGCACTACCACTATTTATCATCATTTCAATAAAGATTCAACTGTTTAAAAATTATAATTCAGACTAATCTCAATTAGATGACTTCCATAGTTTTACACAATGTAAACACATTAAAAAGAACAATTGTTTAAAATTCTAGGAGATGACATGTAGATAGGCTACCCTCGAACTTCTAAAGGAAAATATTTAATTTAACCTATGTTATATTTTAATCTTCAAAATTAGAACTAAACAATACGCACTTTAACAATTACTATAAATATTATCAATTAAGAAAAAGGTAAACATTTCATACCTTGAATGAAGCCACAGCTTTATCATAAGCTTTTATCAGTGCTGTATCATCCCAAACGTCAGAATCATCACTCTGGGAAGGGTGAAGAATAAAAACAATTCACGTTTCGATTTCATTAAAAAAAAGTATGTTAGTGCCAAGAGCCATCTTAATCCAAACATAAAATTACACCAAAAAATAAGTCACATAATCTCTGAGGAGCGAAGGGTTTGAACCCCATAATGGACATCCTAACTTTTAACACCTATACTGAGATAAGCCCCCAAAATCCTAAGCGTAACCACTAGAAGCCTACCTGCTTAGAGATTATGTGGCATCACCCCCACGGCTAAACACGTGTAAATGTCCTGAGAGGTGTGCCGTGAAGTGCATGCTCCACAGTTTAAGCCCAGTCTACCCACCATAAGTGGATCTGTCCAAGTGTAACCACATTTCAATCTTTTCTAAGAGCAGATAAAGGGTGTATTTGGCAAATCTAGGATAAGATAAAGAGCTTAGTTTTAGTGGGAAAACGTCTCATATTATGTAATCTGGAAAAGATGTAAAAATTATTTCTGGCTTTGAATTTAAATTTAATGAATGCTTAATAGAATTTCAACATAATTCAATTAAAAAACAGTTTTGAGCACCCACTACCACTAATCACTCATCATTGAGAGTATAAAATCAAGCTACCTGTTCTCAAGGAAGACCAGGGATTTAGGACATACTGCCAGGCAAAACAAAAAAGAATAAAAAATACAATCAAATATTAATATGTGAAGTACAAACAATAAAACAATAAATGTTTAAATTAAATGGAAAGGAATGGATTTTCTCCAGTTCAAGACAAAGACATGGCTGATTCTGAACTCACCCCCTCCCACCAACACATCAAATCTACAGCTATGTACAGAACGATTTCCTCTGAAAAATACCTAAGTTAGTGGAGTGACTTTTACACATTGGGCAAATGAGAAAAAAACCTGACATCAAAGCAGGTAGGAGAGGCTGAGATACAATCTCACCATGGACCCCAACCCTCAGGCAGCGATCCACAACTGGGAAGGAACTGAAGGCCAGAAGCTTTTCCCTGAGGAGCAAAGGGTTTGAACCCCATAATGGACATCCTAACTTTTAAGACCTATACTGAGATAAGCCCCCAAAACACCTAGCTTTGAAAACCAAGGGGGCTCACATCTACCAGACTCACAAAGAATAGAAAACTAAGTAAAGGCTCTTAAAGGAATCGCCTGCCCCAGAAGCCCAGTACAGAAGCAGCCAAGACAGGCACCAGGCTTTAAGGTAAAGAGGCTCACCCTCTATCAGGGGCAGGCACCTAATTAAACTCACACCTAGGAACCTGCTGGGTTACTTAACCAGGACAGGGGCTTGTAGTTGCCGTCTTCATGCTTTCCACCCTACTCCAGCTGGGGGCACCATCTTCATTCTTTCCTTCCGCCTCACTGCAACTCACTATTATCTTCCAGAAATGAGCTTACACACTACTCCGGCACCCTGATCACTGCAACTTGCATCTAGGGGACACTTTCAGATCGCCTGATTCTGGTGGCCAGCAGGGGAAGTTACACAGGCCTATATATGCTTGCATACTTTAAAAACTGCTGCCTGAGGGTCTGGCTTCCAATTAGCCTCCATTTAGCTACTGACTTAATTTAAATTCTCACCCTTGGGACTCAGACAAATATTTGTCTGAGTACACAGACACAATGTACACAAAGCCATTGTACACAATGGTTTGAGAGACAACTCAGAGTTAGGGCAAGACTGAAAGATAAAGTTCATCTAAATGAGGCCACTCCTCGAAGTCTGGGAGAGGTGGCTGTTTTATGTAATACCCAGAAACCAACAGAGTCAACTAAAATAAAGAAGTAGAGAAATATGTTCAAAACTAAAAAAAAAAAAAATCTTAATGATAGAGATAAGTGAGGTACCTGGTAAAGAGTTCAAAATAATAATCATAAAGATGCTCACCAAACTTAGGAGAATGGATAAACATAGTGAGAGCTACAATAATGAGATAGAAAATACAAAACAGTAGCAAACAGGTCACAGAACTGAAGAATACAATAAATGCACTGAAAAATATACTAGAGGGATTCAACAACAGACTAGATAAAGTGGAAAGATCAGTGAGGTTGAGAACAGGGCAGTGGAACTCACCCAATTAAAGCAGCAAAAAGACAAAATATTTTAAAAAGTGAAAATAACAAATATTTGATGGAAAATCTAAGGGGTACCAGTGAAGACATAGGAAAAAACCCCAAAAGAGTAAAAATTAAAAATGAAGTGCTAAATATAAACAATTGGCAAAGAATATTTAACATCTATATAAATGGAGCCCTTGAATAAAAGCTAAAAAACAAAACAAAACCAACCCTCTAAAAAAGAAGTCCTCAGAGCCTCTAAGCAAAAAGGCCAAGTTATTTACAAAATAAAAGAAAAAGTTAGTATTAGACTTTCTCATAGAAATTTATGGGAAAAAATATGAGCCAAAGATTTCATATATATCCTTAGCTGTCCTTCAGTAGTAAGACTAAGTTTAAAATGCATTAAGAATACTGTACTCACTCACCTTTCCAGAGAAATCTACTAAAGATAAGCTTCATCCAAGCAAGATATGACCATGGAAAACTTAGGTTAGAAACCAAAACTGTTAGCATCAAATATACTTAATTGCAGACCTAACAGAAAAAGAAAATATATAAATCGACAAGCTGATTCTAAAACTCAAATGGAAATACAAAGGGCCTAGAACAGCCAAAACAATTTTGGAAAAGCAAAGCCAAGTTGAAGGACTTACATTATCTGACTTTGAGGTGCACTCTAAAGCTACAATAATCAACAAAGTGTGTTTTAATCACTAAGGTAGACAAATAGACCAGTACGACGAAATCAAGAGTCAGAAACAGTCCCATATACATGATTAATTTGCAACCAGGGTACAAATGCAATTTAGCAAAGAAAGCACAGTAGCTTTAACAAATAGTGCTGGTCAATTGGAAATCCTTATGCAAAAGAATGAATTTTGACCTGTATCTTAAGCCATACACAAAAATTAATTCATACTTTATCATAGACCTAAATGTAAAACCTTCAAACTATAAAATTTAAAAGGAAAATCTTTGCAAACTTAGACAGCCTGCAACAAAAGAACCATCAAAAATGAAGACTGAAAAATTGGATTTCAGCAAAATTAAGAATTTCTGTCTAAATAACACTGTCAAGAGACTGAAAAAAACAAAAACAAAAAACAAAAAAAAACAAGCCACAAACTGGTATAAAATGTCTACAAATTACCAGCCTGATAAAGGTTTTGTATCTAGCATACATGAAGAACTCTCAAATCTCAACAAAAACAAAACAAACCAGTTAAAAAATGGGCAAAAGATATGAACAGACACTTTGCCAAAAAAGATATATGGATGGCAAATAAGCACATAAAATGATGGCCAACATTATCAACCATCAGCGAAATGCCAATTAAAGCTACAACAAGATGTACATCTATTAAAATGTCTAAAATTAGTACAAGACTGACCAAAACAATCGTTGGCAAAGATGTGAAGCAAATATACTTTCATACATTGCTGGCTGAAATGTAAAATGGTACAACCACTTTTGAAAAAGTCTGACAGCTTCTTAGACTTAAAACAATGACATAGGTATTTACCCAACAGAAACAAAAGCACATGTCCATAGATATTTACCCAAGAGAAAGAAAAGCACCCGTTCATACAAAGTCTTCTATGCTAATACTCATGGCAGCTCTATTTGTAACAACCCCAAACTGAAAACAGCCCAATGTCTGTGAACAAGAATATGAATAAACACATTTAGTATATTCATGCAATGGAATACCAGAGCAATAAAAAGGAATGAACAACTGATATACACAACACAATAGATGAAACCCAAAGTAACTATGCTCACTAAAAGCAGCCACAGAAAAAAGACTCAATGTTTATAAAATTCTAGTTTCTGTCTATAAAGTTCTAGAAAATGCAAGCAAATCTATGGTGACAAAAGTGGGTCAGCAGTTGTCTGGGAACAGATGAGGAGGGATGAGGATTACAAAGAGATGTAAGGAAATCCAAACGAGCCCACCCCCGAGACCAGACCATATAGAGAAGCCCTAGGACTGTATGAAGACAAGAAATGGCTTGCCAATCCTTAGTTGCAGTGCCCAGCTCTTATAGCTTGAGCTACATGTGGATGCAATCAAATGAAAGATTTCAAGGAGGAATGCCCACCAAGGCCTTCACAAATTCCTAACCTGCAGAAACTATGAGAAATAATAAAATGATATTATTTCAAGCTATTTTTGAGTGATTTGTTACACAGCAACCGAAATGGACCATTACAATTGCCTTGATGTTTGTTTCTCAGCCACCAACAATAGCCAAGGTTTCTGAAATTATTCCTCAGGTTCTGCCATCTTCTCCCACTTTTCAACTACTGACACTTCCACTGCGCTCTCTTAAGTAACCAATAAACTTCCGAACCCACATCTTTAACCTCTTCTCTGAACATTCCTTTCATCTTCTTGCTGTAACTAAAATCTGGCTTTCTCCGAGGATGCTGCCTTCCTCACGGCCATCTCAAATGAAGTATTTTCTCCTTCATGTGCCTCAAATCACTGTTCCAGAGGGGGGAAGAAATCTTCTTTGCTCCTCACTTCCACTTCCAGATTATTCTTCCTCTTTCCTCCCCAAAATTCCTAGCTTTAAAAATCCTGTCAAGAGAGTCTACTGTCTGCTACCCCGCTTACTGCAATCATCTACAGCCATCTGGGTCATACCTCCTCATTCCCAGAGATTTCCATCCCAGGACTTTCTCCAACATGACTCCTCATAATTCTTGATTATTTAAAAACCTATGTAGATGATCCTTCCAATACCCTATGCTTGCAGGTCTTTAAACTGTTCTCTACCAATGATCTATATCACTCAATCTCAGCTACCCACTTCTAAGTAAAATCACAAGATGCAACCACACACCTATTAGAATGTCTAAAATTAACACAAGACTGACACACCAAGTGTTAGCAAGAATGCAGAGCAAATGGAGTTCTCATATACTGCTTTTATTATATTATAACCAGTAACTACAAACTCTCCACAAATCCTACTCTCCAACCAACACGTTCCAGGATCTACAACTTATTCCTTCTAGTAGTCTGATGATGACAATCATTCTACTTCACTAGGAATAGCAAAACACTGACCCTTTCACTTTTTAAACTGTCTGACAGTGTCCTAATATCCTCACTTCCTTTCTTAGCTTAAATTCCATGGTAAATCATTAAGATAATTCCCTTGTACCTCTCCCTCTCATTTCTTCATATGTACTCAGTATGAACTACAGGAGTACCTCGGAGATATTGCTGGTTTGGTTCCATACCCCCGTAATAAAGTGAGCATTATGATAAAGCAAGTTGTAATGTTTTTGTAGGTAGTGAGTCTTGCCTTCAGTTTGGAAAAAAATGCAACACCCCTAAAGGGCAATCAAGTAAAGTGCAATAAAAGGAGGAGTGCCTGTACAATCCCATTCATTTCAACTACTAGTTTACTCTGTGCCTGCCCTCACAAACCTAAAGTGAACTTAGCTGGTGAAAAACACAATCGTGCCATCTAGTCTCTTTTAAACTCAAGTAGACCTTTAATGTTGTTTAGCAACGTTCCACTATACATCCCTAGTCCAAAACTTATTCACTCTCGCCGAGGCCTACTTTTTACCTTCTCTCTGCTCAAACCTCCAACACCTGCTCTGTCCTCACTCCTAGCTGATCTTTATTTCTTTTACTGGCAGCACAGCAACAGAGAAAAAGAGAAGTTTCAGTCTCCCACCAGATCTGTACTTATACCTTTTGCCACATTGTCAATGTTCCTAACAAAGGCCAAATCTGTCTCCTCTTACCTACTCTAAAACACTACTTCAGCAACTCTTCATTGTCAAAGATCCAGTAGGATCTTTCCTATCAGCTCACAAACATGCTGAAACACGTTTCTCCCATTTTAAAAACAAACAAAAAACAAGTAATCCTCTTTATCTCACTACCCCCTCCATCTATTGGCCAATTTTTCTACTTTCTACTTACAATATAACTCCTTAAACTGTTTATAAATGTTGCCTTGAATTCCCTCCCCCCGCCCCCAGACTCACTCCAATCAGATTTTACCCCTACTATTTGACCCCAAATTAGTTTTTGATCTTCTCCTTTATAAACCTGCTCTACTTGCCGCCTTCTCCATCTCAGCACATCTGTAGACGGCAACTAACTTCACCTTTTCAACTGTTTGGGACAATCTTGAAGTTATCCCTGATAAGGAAAGTTATTCCCTGATCAGGAATAACTGATAACTTTCCTCTTAAATGTCCATTATTGAATCCATATGCAATAACTGTTGCCTCTGGTTTCGAAATACCTGTACATCTAGAATCCAAGTACCCTGTTCTCCTTACCTAACACCCTCATCTAAGTCTGGCCCATTTCAATAGACTCCTGTTTTCCCTGCTTCACTCTGGCCTACCTCCACACCAGTCAGGGTAGACAAAACAAAAAGTTGCAGTAGGGCCTCGGCTCAAATCCATTAGAGCACCCAAGCGGTGCGAGGATGGAGCTTGCTGCTGAGGTTCCCAAGTGGAAAAGGATGTAGAAACAGGAGGATCAACGTCCTGCAATAAACGGACTGGCCAGATCCTGGCCTGCGACTGGGGAAGAAGCGCAGGGCTCCGCTAGCAGCTGGGAGGAACCCACACTGTGGGCGGTGGGGAGGAAGAGTCGTCTAGGATCTCACCTGACCCGTGCCGCGCCGGAATAGCACCGAGTCCTCCGGCTCCGGGGCACTGCCACCACCTCCTCCCCCCATTGCCATGGCGAGGATGCGAATGGCTGCACGGTGTGCGCTGCGTGCCTCTGAGAATGACAATATCCGCCGCCAGGACCTCTGGGAGCGGAAGAGTACGGTGGCCTGAAGGGTACCGCGGCGCCAGCCGGAATTCCGTGCGCGCTCTAGGAGTAACCTTCATTGTTTTTCTTTTCTGTATTCTCTCGGTTCTTCGATTTCACTTTTTAGTGTAGTTGTGGAGTGACTCTAACAGGGTATTTTTATTTTGAGCAATAAATTTTATTTATTTGTCCATTGCAGGTGATTTAGAAAACATGGGTAAACCAATACAATAATAATCAGAGATAACTAATAATAATATATATTTTTAAATGCTTTAAAGAGTTTTAGCCCTGGTGGAGTAGGTTACTTGGTTAGATCACGGGTTCCCTGATCAGAATCAACCAGTGAATGCATGAATAAGCAGGACAATAAATCAGTGTGTGTATCTCTCTAAAAAATCAATAAATAAAATAAAAAATGCTTAAAAGGAAGAAATACATATATTTTTAAAAAGTCCGCTTAGATTTTTCACCATTTTAAAGCATACAATTTCATGGTGTTTAGTATATTCCCAAGGTGTGAGGCCACCACCACTATCTTAACTCCAGAACATTTCATCACCCCCCCAAAAAAGCATTGTATCTATTCACAGGCACTCCCCAGGCTCTCCTACCTCCCAAACCACTAGTCTACTTTCTGTCTCTATGGATTTACTTAATTCTGGATATTTCATATAACGAATCATATATGTGGCATTTTGTGTCTGGCTTTTTTTTCACTTAGCATAATGTTTTCAAGGAGGAGTTCTTTTTAAAGAATTCCAAATTACATGTTCTCTGTTGAAAAAGTTTTTCTACTTATCAGGACCTGGTTCAACAAAAATGAACCTACTGCATTTTTGTTTTCCAAAGAAATGATGACTGTTTTTTCCCATTGATGACATCCAGATTTGAATTTCTATTGTTTACAAAGTTATTTTATATAATATAGATAAGCACTCAAAAGTATAATGTAGCAAATTTCTAAAGGAAACCATTCCATCAGATTTGAAGTCATTTATGTAAACATTAACTTCATGAACCAAGACCAATCTTGGTGCATATGGAATTTTCATACTAAAAACCTGCCTTTACTGACTCTTGGAACTTGCCCATAATCAACTAAGTAATTCAAATCATTAGTGATCTGATTTCCAATTTGAATAATATGTATTGGAATAGTCTTGTGAAATAGCGAATAGAGAAAAGACAAGGCCAGAATCAATTAGTTTCTTAATGTCATCTTACTTTAGCATCTAGGGTTAGATGAAAGATGTGTCAGTGACTGTGTATGATAATGCACACTAGACTATTAGAGCAGCAGAAAGTTGAAAATTCCAAATGACATTTTGGAAGAATATTTGAATTATGGTATGGGCAAATGGTAGTATAACTCATAAATGACATAGACATAATTAGTCATCCAGTATGTGAGGTTTGATCTCTCTACCGTCAAATCACACACAAAAAACACATTCAAGGTGACTTTTATAAACTTGGGATAGGTGATATCTTAAGATAGAAACAAGAAACCATGCAAGGATCAAAAACTCAAATACCTTTGGGGGGCCAGGCAGGTAATGTAAATGAGTCAAAGAGGAGTAAGCAATAAGGGCTAGTGGGTACTGTAATCAGTTAATTCAAGACTACTCCTCCACCAGTGTTCCCACTCCACCTAGTTCACCCAAATAAAGGCATTCAAGTTCATTTAAAAATGTTATATTCACCATGAGAGAACACAGCGGGAAGTAGGCAGGCTGCAACCCACAAGGGGGCCTTCACCAGTACCCAACCATGCTGACACCTTAATCTTGTGCTTCCCAGTGTCTAGAATTGTGCAAAATAAATGTCTGTAAAAAATTTTTTTAAACATGTTACACTGGGTAAGTTTATTTCTGTATCTTAGAAACTAGACATTTTATTATGTAATTAAAAATTCTAGCAAAAGCAACATAAATAAATGGAAAGAACAAAGAATAGTTTGGAAAATATTTGTAACATGTAAAAATACTAATATTCCTTGTATATTAAGCTTTGTCAAAGAAACTAACAGTAAAGCAGCAAAACAAGCAAAGGTAAAAACAAGTTATTTACAGAGGGGGAAAATGGCCAATAAATATGAAAATAAGCCTAAATTCTGGAAGTTCAGTACTCAGTCTGCCTGGGCTCAGTCCTTAAACTGCCAGTTACCAGCTGGTGACCTTGTAGAATTCCTTAAACAAAATCCAAGTTTCTTTAACTATAAATATGGATATTAACAGAAGTACCTACTTGAGAAGACTAAAACAAATTTAAAAAATGCCCTTCCTGGAGTAGCTCAGTTGGGTTGAGCATGGGCCTGTGAAGCAAAGGGGTCGCCAGTTCGATTCCCAGTCAGGGCACATGCCTGGGTTGCAGGCCAGGTCCCCAGTAGGGGGCACATGAGAGGCAACCACACATTGATGTTTCTCTCCCACTCTTTCTCCTTCCCTTCCCCCCTCTCTAAAAATATGTAAATAAAATATTTTTAAAAATTAAAAAAACATAAAGCAGAGGTAAAACATGGGCAGTTCACACCAAAAAACCAAATGTCTAATACACATATGAAAATGAGGCAGTAGATAGCATAAGAAGAACTCTGAGACTGCATTGCTGTTACTGGCTGGCGGCTAGCATCCTGGTTGCTAGGAAACACATTTTAGCACTTAGAATGAATAGCAAACCAAGGCAGGCAGAAGGACGGAGACTGTCTCACCCACTAACTCAGCGGTCCTGAGCCTGGTCTAATGATATTGCCCAGTGTTTCAACCTCACAAGAAACACTATGTTAGCTGAGAAGGGAAGCCCTTGAAATTCTGTGTAGGAGTTCCGCTATCTAGGAAAGAAAGCCTTGAAACTGTGCTTTCATCCCAAGGCCTGAAATGTGGGAGAGGGTCCACAGTGCCCAAAGGAAGAGCCTATAAATAAGTTCGGGTAACTACCCCAACTTAACTGCCTCCTGTCACATATCCGTCAGACAACAAGATGAACAAATGGAGTCTGGAGCAAGATAAGGATTCAGACTAACAGACCCCCACACATACCTAAGTTAGGGTAGTCACAACCCCCCAGGAAGCTGGCACTACGTTTACCCATCAATCAACATGTAAGTTTTTTACAACCATCCTGGCTAAGTCCTCAGAACAAAGAACTAGCTCTCTTGGCTCTCTGGCCTCCTGGCCTCAGGACACCCAGTTTCTGGCAATCTGGGAGCTCGCCACCCTGGCTTTCAGCTGCTCTTTCTTTTGCTGCCCAGGTTTGCCCTGAGCCTATGCCTTTCATACCCGGCCTGCCCGTCCCTCGCCACATACACACCGTTGGTAAGCCCCTTCTCTTCCATGGAAACTCGGTCACCAATAAACCCTGACTGCTTGCATTATAATAGATTTGCTGATTTGTAATTCTTTACATGCACTGGCGAGAAGAACCAGGTCTCTCTCATCAACAAAAGGATGCTCAACAGCCACAGCCACAGTATTACAAATTAAAAGCCAAGAACCAGGGAAGGGAGGAAAAAAACCCCAAACTGAGAACCATTTTTTGCTCAGTTTGGCAAAATTATTAGAGATTAATAATATCTGATATTATGAAGGGCATGGGGCTATGAAGTGCTACCCTCTTGTTGGGGAATATCTATTTAATATTATAAATATGTACATCATTCCCCTCGGAATCCTACCTTTAACAATTTATTTTATAGTAACAAAAGCACCAGTACATCCGGTAAGTGTGATGGCATATATTATAGAATTGTTTGTATTGGTAAAAGCTTCCAAACATCCTATTTTCCATCAGTAAAAAAATGACTGGATAAATTACTATACATCCATATGATGGCCAGACCTATTATATATGTACCGACCTCTTGACATGGCTATTAAAAAAAAGCATCAAGTTACAGTTAAATTTCCCATTTTTGCTTTTAAAAACACTCCCTATAGTGGGTTGAATGGTAGCCCCCCCAAAGGATGTATCCACCGGAGACCTGTGAATGTGACTTTATTTGGGAAAAGGATTTTGCTGATATAATTAAGGATCTAGATACAGGATCATCCAAGATTAGAGTGGGCTCTAAATCCAATGACAAAATTCCTTACAGGAGACGAGAAGAAGATGGAGAAAAGAAGGCTATGTGAAGACAAAGGCAGATTCAAAGCCAGGCTGCCCCAACTCAGGTAATGGCTGGAGGCCCTAAGGAGCTGGAGGAAGGAGGTGAGGGTTTTCTTCTAGCAGCCTAAGAGGGTGCATGGCCCTCCTGACACCTTACTTTCAGACTTCTGGCCTCTAGAACTGTGACAGAATAAATTTCTGTTGTTGTAAAGCCACCAAGTTTGTGGTAATTTGTTACGAAGCCCTAGATAGCCCCCCACGTCCCTTAGTATATGTATGTTTAAACACGATGCATGAACATTGAGAGAAATAGACAACTATTTTATAGACCCTGTGACCCAGGAATTCCACTTCTAGGTATATACTCAATAGAAATAAGTGCTTATGACCACATATATATATATTATGGATACATATATCTACATGTATATTTATGGCACAATTATTCATAATAGTCCCAAATTAAGAGTAATCCAGATGTCCGTGAAAAGTGGAGTGAATAACTAAAATATGGTATATTCATATGACAATGCTACACAACAATGAAAAAGAAGAAACTACTGCTACACACAAGACAGAGGCTTCTTATAGATGTAATGTTCAACAAGTGAAGCCAGACTCCTACCATTGCTTCCATTTATATACAAATTCAAAAACAGGCAAAACCCATCTGTCGTGATAGGTATGGGCATCATGTATAAGTGGACACAAGTGAACCCTCTAGGGTGCGACAGATGTCTATGTATCTTGATCTGGGTGGAGAATGTGTATGTAAAAGTCAACCAAAATGTATATTTGAGCTGCATGCTCATTTCTCTGGGATAAATGATCCAGAGTGCAATTACTGGGTCATACAGTAAAGT